GGAGATCTGTGGTGGTCTCTCCCGTGGCAGTGCCGGGGTCCTCTATGCAGACTGCTACTTCTTCAGGCACTTTAGCGTGCTTCTTGCTGCTGGAGGTGCTCTTCTTCTCAGAAAGTGTGATGGCGCTGCCCTGAAGATCTCCAAGGTGGGATGGTCCTGCTTTCGGCTCGGGCAGCTCAGGTGTTACAGTGTTTCTCTCAGTTTTGCCCTGTTCTTCACAGCCGCTGAAGACCATCGGCCCCCTGTTCACCTTATCCATTGCCCCTGGGAACAGGATGTTCTGGTCATGGCGGTCTTCGTGGTGGGACGGTCCTGCTTTCGGCACGGGCAGCTCAGGTGTTACAGTTTCTTTCTCACTTCTGCTCTGTTCTTCACAGCCGCTGAAGACCATCGGCACCCTGTTCACATTGTCCATCACTGAGAACAGGACGGTGTAATCATGGAGGTCTTCATGGTGGGGTGGTCCTGGTCTCGGCTCATGCAGATCTGGCGCGGAAGTGACTTTCGTGCAGTTTTCCGCGCTGCTCTGAGTCGGTGCTTCTTCAGGAACACCAGGCAGTCTCCATTCGGACGCGCTCTCGTGGTCACTGGTGGACGTCTGGCTGCGTGGAGGAGCTCCCTGCAAACTGGGTTCAGCGCCATCATTCCGTCCACTGTCACCCCCTCCTCTTTCATTCTGTCCGTTTTTTCTGTTCCGTTTGGCGAACAGTCCGAGGGCTTTCTTGAAAAACGACTTCTTAGGTTTTTCCTCTTTCGGCGAGCGTGTTCCTTTGGGGTTCCAAGCGTGCAGTGTTCTGCGGAGCTCATTCTGGTCCTCCTCATGTTCTGTAGCTCCACCTCTACAGCAGCTCAGGAGGAGAACCATCCGTAGAAGGCTGACCACCGTCCGGCCCTTCTTCTCCTTCCTCTGCTGAGGCAGCGGGTCCATAATTAAGAACCGTTTCTTTTTTTTCAGAAAAAGAACTTAAAACGAACGTTCGTGAAGATCACGTGCACAGCTCAAGCGTTACACTTGAAATGGGAAAAAATGCGCGGGAGTCGGGATTTTATTTGTGGCGCAGGGGGGCGTGGTCATGGTCTCTGTGACGTCATAAAGAACGCCGCGGCGCGGTGTGTGTATATGTGTGTGTGTGTATGTGTATACACAGACATATATATATATATATATATATAATATAAACGCACACATATATAGTTCTGTTCCGCGATGACGTCACTGTCTCCTGACTGAGGGTGCTACACAGTGAAAGAGCAGCCTGTAAAATTTAAACCCTTACAGTAAGTCTCATGTAAAAAAGCTTGTAAAAAAGCATGTAATGAATGAGAAGAGTAATTAATATATAATAAATCATTTAAATAATTGTACAAATGAAATCATGATTAGTCTGAGAGAGGTGGGGTGAAATGTGTTTTAATTGTATATCTGTGGCTGTGAAACTCGCTGCCGTTATTATGGCAGTAAATGTGTTTCCCATTAGTTTCCCTTTACCGAAAACCAGAAGCTTCGTGGAAATTAAGTTGGTTTTAAACCCAAATTTTGACCAAAACCTCGCTGGCTAACATTAGCTTAGCTACCCGAACCGCCTGCTTTGGTCACAAACACACCGCGGATACACGAGGCTTAAGATGGCTTCCTGTCCGCTAATTTCTTATTTGAATTTTCCGTTCCACCTTAAATCGTCCTGCAGTTGCATTCTGGCGCCGGTGCGGGTGCCCGCTAACCGCTGCACGATTTAAGGTGGAACGGAAAATTCGAACGAGAAGCTGGAGAAGAATGAACTTCAGCTTCGTCGCGTCGCTCCCGGGTGAACGAATTCACTCCGGAATCCGGTATTTTACCGGGAATATCATCATATCATCATATTTACATTTGGACATAATGCTGTGCTTTTATTGGGCAGACAGTCAAACTCAGTTTACTCTTTCAAAAATGACAAAAAATGTAACTTTTTACTTAGATATTATTTCTTTCTGTGTTATTGTTTTTATTTACCTTTAATATTTTAATCTACTTTCATTAGTGCTATTATTTAATTTTCAATAACAACCACTTTCAGGTCGATAAGCACTTGTTTGAAAAGCACTCCGGGCTGCTACTTGGATGAAACGTGCTCTATAAATATAAATATAAATATAAATACACCTTTATTGTTGTTGTTGTTGTTGTTATTAGATTGTAGGCAGAGGTAAACATGCTGATGCTTCATTTTAAACCCAAACTGCTGGAAAAAACATCCATTATCAGCTCTTTTTAAAACATCCAGCAACAAAACAGTGAACCCATCAGACTAGTTTAAAACAGCACGAATGTTTATTTTAACGGCACAAACGAATGAGACCCTTCTGGTACGACCTGGACGTTGATGGGGGGCTGCGTGACGTCACAGGCAATAAAATGTAATGTTGAATTTCTAAAAAAAACGCTGCCAGCGCAAACGGTGATTTCTACGGCACAAACGCAGCACAAACGGACAGTAGTATTTTTATTCCATTTCTGACCACATGGGGGACCAGCTTCACGGAGGTCCCAAATAATACCTGCTCTGTGGGGGGTCCTATGGGGGTCCTGACCATTGAAGAACAGGGTGAAATGGGGGGTAACAAAGTATGTAGAGAAACAGATGGACTACAGTCTGTAATTGTAGAACTACAAAATGCTCTTGTATGGTCAGTGGAGCTGATAAAATGGGCAACCAGTGTGGATATATATATATATATATATATATATATATATATATATATATATATATGTATGTATATATAGGGGAGCTGGAGACCATCCCAGCGGTCATTGGGCAGAGGGCAGGATACACCCTGGACAGGTCGCCAGTCCATCGCAGGGCAGACAGATAGATACATTCACACACACACTCACACCTAGGGGCAATTTAGCGTGTCCAATCGCCCTAGCTGCACGTCTTTGGACCGTGGGAGGAAACCCACGCAGACACGGGGAGAACTCCACACAGAAAGGACCCTGGAGACCCGGCCAGGAATATTATAGCAAATTGTTTTTTTAAAATGAAATAAAAACAGGCATTCTCTGGCCCACGAATTTATTGGGATTTTTAATATGCCCCCTTTAGTGCTTGAGTTTGACACCCCTGATCTACTCCAAGGTTTAAATAAAGGTTGATCTACATTATAACCAGTTCATTTTTGCAGACTAACTGCTCAATCCTCACTACATTCTACCCTGCGGGCCTGGTAGAGTCAGTCCCATTACATTCTGAGTAGAAGGATAAATTTTGTATCATAACAAATCATTTTTTTAGAGGCGTAGACTCAAATGTGATGTCATGGCGCCTGATTGGGGTCAGTATTCATGAAGCTGACTTCGGCGCCCTCTGGTGTTCTAAGAGTGCAATAGCTTGTACCAAATATTATCTTGCATTATCTACTATCTTGGCGAAGATTTACCTACTTTTGGGGTGAGGATTTGCATATTTTCACCATATTTGGCAACAGAAACCACTACCGAAAACTAATTTACATACAAAGTTTTATTAAAATACAAATGTGATGAAAATTAAGATACAAAATATCAAAAAACATTATAAAAGTATAAAAAAAGTGCACAAAAACCTCTTTACAGCATCAATTGTACAGTCAGAATTGAATAAATAGTATAAATTAGAAAAGACAAATTCATGTTCTGATATCAGTTAAATCTCTCATAAGGCACATTAACACTGAATGAAAATGTACCAAGTAAATTATTTCCCTGAACCTCACTGACATCATGTCATATTAGCTTTCTTGTATACTAAAAACCAGAGTTTAGTTTAGTTTAGTCAACATAACTATTGACTCAGTATTGCTGGTGAGTTCAAACATTCACTCATCCCAATAATATGATGAAAGACTAAATGATCACACAAATGAAATGAACTTTTAACAGTCATTTGAATGTAAATTCCATTGTACCATTTCTTTGAATGATACGTTACCCAAACAAAATTTCCTTATGTGACAAAAGATAAGTTTGCCTAGGAACCAGTGACAGAAGGTTTTTTTTTTTTCACATTGAGTTACGACAGAAAAGCTAGACTGGATCATGATGCCAAAACAGATTATACAATTTCAGCTTCAATGATGTTTTTTATACATGGATACACATTTGTGAGAAGCACGCCGCATGCAGATTTTGAAACAGCATCATGGCATCAACGGTATTAAAGTCTGTGTAGTGAAACAGTTGCTGGTGGCCAAAATTAAAAACCAAGCCAAAAAATAAAATAAAATACAGTAGTAAATAGGCACACCAGCACTTTTAATGTTGAGCAACTAGAACCAGAGATTATACACTTAACACATGCTTATTTAAAACGCTTTCATAAATAGAAATTTATACAGCAATATTAAAGTATGCATTTTTATTTACGGATGTACTTGCAAAAGGATGGATAATGGTTTTGTGCTCAAAAGCATTTGAGAACTGCAGATTGTATCCAAATATTAACACTTTTGGATCCTGACAACTCTCATGAAAGCAGTAACTTGGGAGTCAAACCAAAAATGAGAGATTAACAGATGCAGGTACTGAACAAAAATAGAGCTGTATTCACACTGTGAATATCCAACAACCCATTCACTGCACTGCCAACACATGCAGATCAGGGGGAAATTGGTTGGCACAGTATAACTAAATTGCTTAAGATTCGAACCATTATCACACTGCGCCCTGTTTGACACAGACCAATACGGCATTTCATGAACATCGACAACAACTCAACTTACACATAGGAAATAGGAGCCAGAGGAGGCTTTTGGTGCACTGGTATTGAAAATAAAGATATTTACAAAACACTACAAAACAACATCGAAGATATTTTACAGTGCCAAAAAATTCATAAAAAAATAAAATAAAAATACCTGTATTACACGTCTTAATACGCCGTTTTAACCCGATTCTGATCCTATGAATAATTACTAATGCCCGTAATTTTTTTTTGTGCTCCCTTTTGTTTTCTTAAAATTACAAAAGGTAATCTTACAAAACAAATTGCTAACATAACAAAAAACAGGGAAAATATTCAACGGCATTCATACACAGTGAACTAATGTGGGAATGATTTTTGAGTCTGCCACTGGAGACAAAGCTAGGGAGCCTCAACGAGACACTGGAGGAGGTGCGGTAAACTGATCACCAAGTCTCCTTTAAGTCCTCTGGGAGGGGAGAGGTTGGTGTTTTGGAGTTCTGAGAGTCTGCGGTGGATGCCAGCGCTGCCCGCTCTTTGGTGCTGCAGCAGGGCTTGAAAAGACGAGGATCGATAATTACCTCACCAAAACGCCCTTTGTAGACAATCCCACAGCACACCTTCTGCCTGTAAATCAACAGAAGGAGGACTCATGAATGCAAATTCAGTTTACACCACAAACAAACCAGCTTTACTTTATCACTCGGCTCATTACCTTTTCCAGTAGGAGAGGTCGAGGAACGAGAAGCCAGCTGGGGTTGGACGCCTTTGCTTAGTCTCGATGTCTGAGCCATCATCAGACTGGTTACTGTGGCTGGGAGACTGAGAAGGAGACATGCTGGATGTAGTGCTGTGGGCATCAGAATCTAAGGGGGGGCAGGGGGGGTAAGAGAGAAGGGAAAAGGTTTGTCAACACAAACTATAATGTAATATTTCAGTAAGCAGGTGCAACTTCGATGAATTACAAATAGTGTGTTATTCAGCACACTGAATCACTAGCAGTAAAAAGGCAATTCCACCTTTTCTCTTCAAATCCACATGATTAAATCATTATGATGTAAACTTATTCATTCAGAGTAGTCTGATGTTAAATGCTCCATTCTAGAGAAACTTAGTCGGAACTGTTATGGTGGTGATAGATGTGAGGTAGCACTAATAGCTACTTCATAGAAAGCCATCACTTGAAATGGTTATAATTCAGTGGCTGATGTATAAGACACTTTACACATGATAGCAGAGAGGTAAATACCAGGCAGGCAGGCAGGCAGGCAAAGTTCACTAGTCATTTTGGATAGCAAATAAAATTTCAGGTTATAAGCTATATAATTATGATGTAAATGATTATATATTTTTTTCTTTATATGCCTATATATTTATTTATATGCCTATATATTTTCTTTCTTTCTAAGACAGCATGACCCTTAGTTTCTATCACTAACAATGTAAAGACAATCGGTAATTTCACGTCAAATCACTCTGAATGACTGACTTTAGAAATCTCTCTTAAGACAATCCACTTGACACCCACTTTGTCGTTTAAATTTATGCAGCTTCTTCAGCTTGCTTTTTTTCTTCCCATCAATATTCTTCACTTTTTTCGGTTTTGTCAACTTGAAGCCAGGCCCTGCTCTTGCATCCACAACCTGGAGAGGAAGAAGAATAAAAATAGAATTAAAAAAACAAAACAAAAAAAAAAACAAAAAAACAAACAACATTATTAAAATGAGAAAGACAAGCAAAGTGTTTACTTTCATAATAAATACATGTATAAATAAATACATAAATAAATACGCATACATGGCTCCAGTTCTTCTTGGATCCAAGTGGCAATTTCTTCCATCTTTTTACTAGCAGCACGCAGGCATTGCAGATATCACCAACTCTGTCCTCAGATAAACTGAGAGGAAAGAATAAGTGTTAGATGTGTGCAACAGTACAATACAAAGCACGTAAGCGTTGGAACTCCATTTATGAAATTTTCAAAAAGGCTTATGAAGACTAATATGCACTCTCTGGGAGCCCCTCTGAACGGCTAGCAAAGAGTTAAACTGCGCTCTCACCCAAAGCAGAGTCGGAAGTTTTCCTCGTATCTGCTGCTGTCTGTAAACCGGGAGCTGGACGACTTGGTTTTACAGATACAGCAACCCTCATGACTGCGATAAATCTTCGATTTATGAAACCCAAACATCTCTCGTTGCTTCTGTAAGTGAACATAAACAAGCATTAGAGCAGCTGAAACCCTCCGACTGGCACTGAGCTACATTTTAGGCGGGTGATGGCTTAAAGGGGGCGGTCACGGCACTCTGCACCGGCCGCTTGTCAAACCTTTATTTTTCAGTCTTCACTAAGACCTGTGACTAAAAACATACCTTGTTCTTTATCTGGAGAAAAATAAACATCAGGAAAATTCGTATTGTGGCGCTTTGCTGACAAAATCTGACGCGTTAGCAGCACTTGACCTACTTTTCATCCTTCACAACAGCTGCTTAACAACAACAGTGACGCCTTTAAAAACGCCAAGTGTTGGTTTATTTCAGACATTTCAAATAGGGCTGGACAAAATGACAATACGTGTCGTTTTCGTGACAAAATATGGCACAATACAGTACAGTATGTGGTTCTGAACATTTTATAAATATTGTCAGTGCTCGTAGATTACTAATGTTAACTGCTTCATTATAAACAGAGCGAATAAAACAGTTCAAATGGATTTAGCGCAGCACAGTTTGCCAGATAATGAATAAAAATTGCTGTATTTATAGTTTTTGATAGTAATATTCAAACGTAGCACTACTGGTTCTTTTCTCCTGTGTTTCAACTGAACAGATATCTGAAAAAAAAAACATCACGACATAAAACGTATTGTAAACATTTCTTAAAGTATCGCGATATTATATTTTTGCCACACAGCCCGTCTCTGCTTTCGTTAACGTGTCGACAAACGCTGGAAAAATGCGCCAATACGTTTACAGGGGGAGAAGAAAATGTCTAGAGCCTCGACCGCAAAAACGAAAGCACTTTTAGACACATTAAAAGCGAAACGTTCGTGTTTTAAGAGCTAAGAAGGCGAAACGACCCGAACACAGCCCGCTATTTAACGTTACTCTCCCAACTTTCTGAACGAGGCGAATCAGAACGTCAGATTAAAGCGCGCGCATCTTCCACGCGAAGGTGTCCGTTTCTATGGAGCCGTTGTCGTTACTACGGACTAAAAGCGACCTCAACCACAACGCTTCTGTTTCTGTTCGGAAAGCAGCTAAACTCGACTTAAAACTCAATTTGAAAGAAAACCGAAGGCAAATAAAAGCACAGTCTTGATAACTAAACGTTAACGTGTTCTGTGTTCAGAGGTGCCCGAGACAAAAAAACGGGTGGGAGGTCGTCTTTCTTAAAACATTTATACCAAACTCGTCTCCAGATATAGGTTAACCTAGTTAATTTCGAGGATCGTTACTGACACGTCGAGTTAAAGCCGCTAGTAAAGGCTTTAACCTGACTAAGTCCGTTTCCCTTTATTCAAACTTTCGCCCATGGAGAGCGCCAAATCGCCCTCTCGGACTGAGTTGGCTATTGTTAGGGAATAGCTTAGCCTGCTAGCATGCCTGCCATGCCACGCTCCACATCCACGCTCCATTGTTGAATGTAAATAACCTCGCCGCACACGTGAAGTAAACGCGCAATTCGCCCGCAAATCCCTGCAAAACTCACACACACGAAACCCAGCTGCGCTGCACAAATGTCACAAACTTTAAATGTGAGTTTACAGCAACAAAAACAAAGCGCTTACCGTCGGAAACTTTGAATTCCGTTCGTTTTAGTCGTCCGCACTGCGCATGTCTTACTCCAGCTACGCTCAGATGAATGGGGGAGTCGCATTAGTGCACAAATACTGGAGCAAAATGGTGCGTCGCCCCGCAGGAACTCCATATAAGGAGTGGAGCGCCGCGATTTGAACAGAATTTCAACCAATCGGCGAAGCCTCTTTTTTCCTTTTAAGAAAGTTGCATCTTGGGAGTTGTAGAGAAAATGAAAACAAAAAATGAACATAACTTTGTATTTTGTTTTCATATTTTTTTCAACTTAATTGCTCGGAGTCTTGTAACTGCTTTGGAAACGTCGCGTGAAAAGCAGTTATTCCAACAAAGCTCTCTAAACTGAACAGAAAAATGTTTTCATTGCGGGACTAGACGAGGCAGGAGGACTCGTTTTCCCAGACTGCATTGCTGCGTCTCTGTGTTTGTTTTTGCAGCCGACTGCAAAGAGCGCGAACCGAGAAGCAGATTGGAGTCAGTCGGTTGAACTGGAGCGGTTGCTTATTGAAATTTCAGAGATTAAAAGTGTCAAGGCGTTTAACTGTCAAAGCACTAAAGGAATAAGTTAAAGGTACGATTGAGGCCCGCATACATTAACAAAGAAGTCGGTTTACACTGACACGAATGATCATGTTTAAAAGCTCTAAATACTTAATTATTTGTATTGGTTTTTAAACGTAAAACCTGCGTTAGGCTATTACCATAATGCTATTTTGTATATTATAAATATTAAGTTTATAAACAATGCGTAAGATCCAAATTGCTGTAAAAGGCATGAACTACAATCATTATAATCATTTAAATCAGTGTAAAATGCAATGCATCCATAGGCAGCAATAGCGTTACATTCTGCAATGCAGTGCCTGACTAATCCCTGTACGTTAAATACTTGGCTGGATTATCTGAACTTTTTTTAATTGACATTAATTTTCTTTTGGATATCTGTATCGGTACTCTGAACACTAAAAACGACTCATAACACCAACATGGAATTATCACTTTTAATACATTTTATACACTGTACACTGTTGCTCACTTATTTAACACTACATTACACAGTTCTGTCTATAAATGTATCAAGAAACAAACAATGCTCATGCCAACTGTGTCTAGAGTGGTGGCGTAGGCTACCACAAATCTGAATGATATTGGCACATGAATGACAACCTCTAATGAGACCTGTCATCCAGACTAAAATATATGCTACACTTTAGAACAGTTGGAAAATCTCTGTTTAATCAGTATATTCTAAATCTAAGTAAGTGGTGGGTTTTTGGAGATTGCATAGCAGAAACAGATGAGTTGATTAAGGGGTTTCATGGAGGCCAACAAACACTCAGTGTTGCTATATAATGTTCCTGGGCTATCAGCAAAGGCCAGTGTGCAGACCTGAGGGATAAAACAGACGAGGAATGTAGCGTTGCTTCTAAGCTGAGAGGAATAAATTGTTTAGAGGTATTCATGGGGATTCATGAAAAACAATTCTGGCTGTAAAAATGAGTGGGCGATAATGCAAAGTCGTTTAAAACGGTTATAGAGAGAAATGTCAATGTTTTTTTTCTCCCTTTCTCATTCATAAAATACATTTGTGCATCATTTTACGAGACCTATCATCCATTCTAGTGGATTATATTCTAACCTCAATATGTGCTAATGGAGATTTGCATACTACTTTTGGGGAATGACAAAGTCCCCTGCCAATGCTTTAAAAACAAGAGCTTATTTCTTGCTTTTTTTAAAATTAAAACATGAAGTTCCCATGAGTTATACTTATAAAGCATACTTCTACATCATTTGCTTTAAACTCTGCATTGTGACAGTATGGATTAGATAGACCACAGAGCAAGCAACTTGACAAACATATCAAAATAATACTGTTCTTCTTTGAAAATATATTACCAGTTTTTCTTCCGTGTTCTCCTTTTAAATATAGCCATTGTCAGCAGTTCACAATAACAATGAAAATATTGAGCTTTCAATAAAACGGTATAGCACAGGTGGGTGTTTTTTTTAACCTCTTGTGAAAAGTATGGATCATAATACAAAACATATCTTAAATGTCTAACAGCAACATTGTCAAGGATAAAAATAATGACACATTTTGAAAAGGCTCATTGCACTTAATATATGGCAAACATGACAGTAGCTTTAATGTAAGCCAGGTTTAGTCCTTTTGTTCAAGTCTCTCCATGTAAAAAAGCGAAATAGTCCATGGTCCCCGCTGATCTGCCTGGGTTAGGTCCTTCGTCTTCTTCCGAGGGGGAGGGGGAGGTTTTATATTCCGATCCCTTTGACTAGAGAGGCCTCCAGAGTAATGTTGAATTCTTGCAAAGTCTGTAAAACTCTGATCAAAGAGTTTACCAAAGAATGGTCTTTTAGTAGTGCTGTGTCCTCATACATCTGTGCTGTGATTGGACAGTCAGCCAGTAGGGCTATCCAGTGATGCAGCAGGTGATCTCTGCGGGAGATGATAGAGAAACATGGGTGTCCGATTCATTTTAATGGCAAAAACTTTTTTGATATATTTGAATGATATTTTATGAATTGGAAATGGAATCTGAAACCACTGGTATTTGCTCATAGACGTGTATATTGTTGCTGTCCAAAAAAAACAGCTTCTTTAGATTGTGTAAAAATTTCATGATGAATGGACCAATAGAAATGCTCCAAAATTACTTGGATTACAACCCATTTACATTAACTACCATTGAAAGTAAAGAAAAATGTTGCATTCTCCTGTAAAGTTACTATTCTGGAGATACAGGTTTTTCTTTGGGCAGTGACAATATACACTATATGGCCAAAAGTATATGGACACCTGACCATCACACCTATATGAGCTTGTTGGACATCCCATTCCAAAACCAGGGTCAATAACATGGAGGTGCTCCTCCCTGTTGCCACAAAGGCAAAGGAAATCATTTTCTAAAATGTCTTTCTATGGTGTAACTTTAACAAATACCCTTTATAGGGAGCCCAAACCCTGAAAAACAGACCCAGACTATTATCCCTCCTCCTCTAAACTTTACTGCTGTTACTGATTCATCACTCCAGTGAACACATTTCCATTGCTCCAGTGGTAGACACCACTCCAGCTGATGCTTGGCATTGTGCATAGTAATCTTATACTTGTGTGCAGCTGCTTGGCCACTGAAACCCATTTCATGGAGCTCCCATTGCACAGTTCTTATGCTGATGTTGCTTCCAATGCTCTATGTGTGTTGCAGCACTTGGCAGCCCTGCTCTGAGTTTGCATACTCTACAGCTTTGTGGCTGAGCTGTTGTTTCTCCTAGATGCTTCAGTTTCACAATAATAGCACTTACAGCTGACTGGGGCAGATCTGACCAGGGAAACATTTCACAAACTGACATGTGGAAAAGGTGGTATCCTATGGTTAGTGTCACGTTTAAAGTCACTGAGCTCTTCAGTGCGACCCATTCTACTGCCAATGTTTATGGAGATTGCATGGCTATGTTTAAACCTGTTAGTAATGGGTGTTATGTAATGGGCATGGGTAATAATTTCTACAGAAAAAGACAGAAAAACTGTTGACTCAAACACGTATAACAGCAGCCAGTGGGCGGGTGCTATACACTGTGATAAATTAAGTCAACAGTACAGGGTATAAGGTAACAATTACTGTCCAATAGTATCCTACAAATGTGGCAAATCGAGCTTGAAATTCCTTAAAACAAGATTACTGACTCACCTAGCTCCAAGACACACAAGCATCTGGAACTTTCCATCTTTTCCAATATTTCTGGGTGTGCTGCTGATGGCACGCATGAAGCGGCAGAAATGGCGCACCCTCGTCTGATAGTTCTCATCCTGAGTCACCTGACTCTGCTCAGCACTCTCAAAGTAAACCTGCGCTTTTTCTGAAGAAGACACAAGCATATTAACCATTTAACATAACCCTCTTGGGAAATACTGGATCACATAGTCTAGTTAAGGCTTAAATAAATAAATAAATAAATACATAAATAAATAAATAAATCTGTTTATTACCCAGAAAATCCCAAATGAAGACATTCTTGAAGAGGCGTGGTGACTTAAAGCCGTGCTGGAACACCTGCTCCAAAGCCCACACCAGACCATACTCTCCGCATAGCAGCAGAGTCAGACTACCCCTCTGAAATCAAACAGAGAGAGATATTCAGTGTTGGTCACTGTGAGACTTGTGAAGTATAACCAATGGAGCAGGGGTGCCCTTACCTCCTTCTCTGGCTTATGGAAGTGTTTTACAATGCCATTGATTGCCTCCCCTACTCCCTCCTGGATCTGACCTGTGTTCAGCTCTGGTAAAGACACAATACAAAACGTGTCAGCTATAAAACATCCTCGTGTGCACACAGTCACAGAAAATGTGACAAGTGATTTTTCATTTTACTTTCATAGTGAAGCTCTATAGCTTTTTTCTTCTCATTTTGGCCTATTGCTGATGTTACTTACTTGGTTTGCTGTTTGGTGAGATGGTGACAAATCGCCGCATCATCCCAGGGGATTGCTGCATGGGGGGAGTCCGGCACATTCTGTCCTCATTCTCCGTGCTAGCAGTCACCAGCTCACCCACCAGAATCCTCTCTAAACTGCCATCGTCCACCCCTTTTCCCAGCCAGCGGCCGCATGGGAACCTAAACACGCGCACACATTTGTTGTTTCTGATCTCCAACAAACAGTAAAACTTGACACTATCAATGCTCTGCCTTTCTTTTGCAACAACTGTGACTATGTTGACAGGCTTTGCAGTACGTTACCAAAAAATCACATTCAAACTATAGAGAACTTTTAGTGAACAAGTTTTGTCAAAATATAGAAAATGAATACTTATTAATTTATAATTATACATTTTTTTCTATGTGTCTAAAACATCACAGTGTAAGATAGACGTAGATGAAGGGCTTTAGTTTTTGTTGTGTAGTCGAATAAACATCCATTTGGCTTGGCGGCAAATTCTAAGAGTATTACAGTAGCACTGTCCTGCTCAGCAACGTAGCATTTTAAGCTGGGAACTTAATATTAAGTAGAGCCTATTTAAGCTAAATGGGTGTTCTGCCGAAATATTTTGCAAAGAAGTTGTAACAAAAATTGCTCTAATACAAAGCGTTTTCAGGCGGAGTCATGGACGGTTCAATTATTGCAATGACTGGCAAATCTGGTTATTTGTACTTACTTGTAAGTGTGTCCTGTGATCCCATTACGGACCATGACGCACTCCACCAGCCACTTGGCATACAGTCCTGAGTTATCGTGGCCCATCTGCACTGTGGTCAACTTGCCCAGGTTCTGGCACTAGTGAGGGGCATAATAAACAACCATTAGGCCTCTGGTACAAGACTAATATGCATCACTAAACACAACTTTATTCCAACCCCCCATGTCCTGTTTGTTCTTGAGAGCCAGCTAATTAGTTACCATAGCCTTAACCAATAGCTGATAGTGTTAAATGAAAGCAACCAGCCATTACATGAGTTTTATTGTGCACTTTAACTTTATTTTAGATAAAACAATTAAAGAAGCAGTTTAATAAAATGAGATATTATCCCTATCAGATTATATATGATACAGTTGTATGAGAAAGTTTTGGCGTCCCTGGTCAAATTACGTAATTACCTCAAATCACGTTACAAAATGAATATATTGGGGGAAAAAATCTAAATGTGGCCTGTGCAAAATGTTATGGCACATTTACATTTTATATTTTATTTATTCAGTATGTAATTCCAAATAAATACAAATTATGCACTAAAATTTACAGAAAAATACAATATTTAAGTTTGCTTCTTGTAGAGGATGTGTTAACTTATTTTCACTTAGAAAATCAACAAAACGTACCTCGACTGGGGGCGTTCAAACTTTTGCATCTAGCTGCAGACGTTATATCTACATAGGTATTACAATAGATTTGGCTATTAAAGACTATATCAGTTGACGATACAAAGCTCTCTGCTCACCAGACCAGGATAAGGTTGAGGTTGTATACCCTGTTATATTGTGTGGACTATTGATCTAAAAAAAAAAAAACCCAAAAAACAGCGCCCTATGTTGTTACTCACTTCAAAAGTAATCTCCAAAGTGTTCTTAGGCACTTGGAGAACTCCAGTCTCAGCCAGTTCTCCGGAGACGCAGACCCAGGGGTTGGCTGTGAACATGGAGCCACCCAGCTTCTTACTGGGTATGATCACTACATGGTATGGAATCACTGCAACAATAACAAGACAGACAAGAGAGAAAAATGTAAGCAGGACTGGGCTCCTGTGTGTGCTTCCTCAGTCTCCCAGTACATGGGTATCTGGTGCTTGTGTTATATGTTGCCACTCACTGATTGTGGTGAAGACGTTGGTAAAACAGAAGTAGTCGACGGCGTTGAAAGAAAGGAGGTGATAGAGAAACTGCTCCTTCTCGTCATCGCAGCGCAGAAAAGCGTAGCGCTTATAGAGCTTCCTGCAGAAAAGGAAATGGAAGATGATATTTGAAATGCTCCCCGAAGAGAGTGGAAGTGGAAAGTGTTTTTGTGTTCATGGTGAAATGTGTTATGCCAGAGACGCTCTTTCAAGTTGAGTGAAGACCTCTCAAAAGAATGCTACTACGAACTTGACCTAGTTTATCCTGCAGCTCTCATCAATAATAAAACACTTTTCATTTTTAATGGTGAATTGCTGCAACCACAGATAATACTTCCGATATGTTCATTTATTATGGATATGCGCCTTTGTTGCATTACTTAAATGAAAATTAAATTTATATTTAAATATCATCAGGCCAAAAAAATAGAAGGGGGTCTTCACCAAAGCAAGCTGGATGCTAGCTAAGGTAGATAAATGCATAGTGAAACTGTGCCTTACTTGGTGAGCTCATGGTCAGACAGGAGCTGCTTGAGGTGTCTGGACAGCAATTTCTTCTCCATGGAGAGTCGCACCCAGGCCCTGGCCTTCCCCACGTCTGTCTTAATCTCACTAATGTTCTGAATGTGCCTGAGAAAAGCAAAAGAATGGTCAAGTGACACTGACAAACATGCCTTAGGTTATATCCAGCATATAATAACATCTTTCCAAAAGCCCTTTACTACATACATTTGAATATCTTTCACAGTTGTTCTCAACACCAGTCATGGGGACCCACTGCTTGGCACATTACAATTTATTCTATGCTTCAACAATCAGATCCAGCTCATAAGGTACTTATCAAGCCTATTATGAGCTGCATTAAGTATGATGAGTTAGAGGACATTTTAAACAGTGCAGTGCAAAAGGTCTCCAGGACAGGACAGGAACCTCTGATCCACCAGATATTAAGTCACTTGAATAAGCTTATGAAAACTCATGACTCTTCCATATGAACATGCAGTCAGTATGAATTACATCAAAAATTAAGCAAACTATTGGATTTAACTGAGCTATAACAAACCATGACTACTCTTTCAAATATTCCAAAAAGGGTTTACTGGAGAACTAAAAAGACAAGATAGCCTTACAAAATATAGTCTTAATCCATAAAGAGTTCTATTTAAGGCCACAGCATTCAATGAAATCTAAAATCTGCTAATATGTGTTTTTTGAAGCTATGAATTTATAGTTTATCAGTAACATAGTGTGTGTATTTTCAAGTAAATGTTTAATATATTTTTTATATACTGAGTTCCATCACAAATGCTTAAATACAGTTGTATGCAAAAGCTTATTGAATTTCTAAGTGAAAATAAGTACAAATCCTCTGCAGAGAATGTGGATTATTCTGCACTTTCTTGTGCACTATTTTTATTTTTTCTGAGTTTAACATAAAACACAAAATGTATAAAAACTGGCCATTATAACAGGCCAGATTTTTCTCCCAATATGTTAAAATCAGCAAATAAACAGCAAGTGTGCAATGTGCCAGTGTTCTCTGTAGAGGATGTGTACCTATTTTCATTTAGAAAATCAAGAAGATATGTACTTTGACAAGGAGTGCCCAAACTTTTACATACAAATGTATCTGTTTGTACATTGACAGTACCGCAATACATTTAATGTAAAAATTAAATTTAAAAATGTAATAATTTAACAGCATCCCTGAGTTTTGCTGTATACCACACAACTTATTTAGCCATAAAAATAATGTACTGTCACATTAAATACCATAATGAGGAAAAATTACATCATTTAAGTCTTAAGATGGTATGTTTCGCTATTTTAATCATTTCTTGCTCCATCCTTGAAAAGGTCTAACAGAACGTACAACCATCAGGCAAAAAAGACAGAGAGAGCAGATTTTAGTCTTATTTTTGCAATATAAACAGACAATTTATGTAATTAACTGTTTAAAAACTGATGTTAGAAAGCAAAGCTTATTAACAGACAGAGTGGCAGCCAGTTTAGCTGAAAATAGTCCACCCAGTTAGATTCCACTCCATCACAGGATGATCAACAAAGCATGTAATTTGACCAGCATCACTTCAACGTTGGTAAATAAGTGTGGCCATCAGGCTCTTTTTCTCATTGTAAGATAGACCAGAAGGACAGTGTACGCGTTATCGCCATGCAAACTGCCAACTAATCACTGTCAGTTTTTCACAGGGCTGCATTTTATCACGACAGCCCTAATTACAAATACTGATACAAGTGCTTAGCAGGTAACAGCACGATCAGAATGAGGAGAGAGTACATAAACATGCTAGGAGCATCTCCCCAGTCTCTTGTTATGCATTCCTCCACTGGGGCGACAGTTAGAAGTGAAGCTCCAGGAGAGAAAAGGAGGGCAGCAGGAGGAGCAGCTCTGGGCCCAGACTCCCCGCTGCATCAGCCAGCCTGCTGTCATCGCTCCGAGCCACTATCATGGCAGCCCTGTCCAGACACATTCCCTTCCACTCCAGCTCTGCCACTGAGCACTGTCTGCTCACCCTCTCTAAGTGCTGCCCCTCCCCCTGAGGCTCTAGCAAAATAACCCCATTTCTCCACAGACACCCCCCTCTCCGCATCTACTCTCACAGCTACCGCATACAAACCAACATGAAGCAGTGATGAGGATGGTGCATGTGGAACCACATAACTCAAGCTGTTAACATGCACAACCCTCTTCTAATAATGATCCATCTGTCAATATGTGATGCTGTTTGACCAACAGACTGCTGACTTGGGCTGTTTGTTGTGATAAATGTCTACAGAAGTCTTTTCTCAGTCTATCATGGATATCAGTAATTCTAGAACACAGAACTGCATGTGTCATTTAAAAACACAAGATTTAGGCCAATTATAAAGATCCTATTAACAACACAATTAATATATAGTAAATGCATAAAATCCATTGTAACCAGTGCAGTCGGCTCCAGAGTAGGTTTTCCTGCGGTGTATCTTTTTCATTTGGTTCAGTTAGTTTCACAATGCAATGGCTAAAGTGCACACAGTTATAGATGTGGATGTTCTTTTATCGGTCTGGAAATTGACAAGGATACAAGTGCTCAGTTACTTTCATATTTACCTTCATTTGTGCCACAAAATAACCTTTTTAAACTTCCACTAGCTCCTGACTGTATTATATCTAGATCTATTCTTCACAAATAGTACTATGCAAAGGTCTTAGTTCTATTTTATGCCATTTATTTTGGCAATAAGTGTGTGTTTGCTTGTAAAATCTCCATATAACGTAAGCGTAAATGCAAATAGACACAAATACAGCACACTTAATTTAACTTACTGAACTATTGATTAGCCAAACCAAATCCTGGATGATAACCACAATTAATACCGGGCTGCAAATGGCTAAACGAACCCAATGACACGTAAAATCCCTACTTATTGTATTAATATTATTTTTACATATTGTTATAAGTTTTTTTTTTCTGAGCATATAAATGCTTACTGCCCAGATAAACAGCTTTCTTAGGCACCTAAACTTTTGCACAGTACTGTATATCTTTTAATTTATGACTCAAATTACATGAAAATAGATGTTTAATATCTATATATATCACAATTAAAGCAATTAAATACCTTCCTTGATCTCTACTTCTTTATGACGGACTGATTTATTATTTTGATTTTAACCAGTGAGGTCACTGAAGTTTGGCCAAAAATATGTTCTATGTTTCACGTGCAAAATTAAACGTTTGGCCGTTATTAGCAGCAGCTCGTGCTGCATGAACCATATGAGTGTCTAACAGGAGTCAAACACTAAACCAGGCAGCTTATGAGAACAGTACAGCACTAATGTGCTGCTAGAAGAAGAGAAAAGTGTGCTCTGGTGTTGAATTTCCTCATTTGGTGTAGACCATCGTAAAAAATGTATTCCCATCAGTGGTGAACTGAACCACGGTTCACTTATAAGCAGACCAAATCCTGTGATTTTTGGTGGTCTATGGTCCAGGTGTTTGGTGCACACCTGTCAAAACAGACCATACCAAAGAAAAGGTTTGAGTGGTCACCACCAAAGAAGATGTGAAAAGCACCCAAACATTCTGATATCAATTAGAACCTAGAAAGTGTGACCATCGTCACAGACTCTATTAGTAACTCACTCAGGTAAACTAGAATCTGGCTGGTCAGTGAGAGCTGCTGACCCATCTTAAAGCAGAGATGTGTTGTGTATATGCTGAGTGTGACTGTAGACGGGGTGAGCTCAGGGCACAGCTGCACGCTAAAGGCTTCCCGCGCTCTGATGTCTCACCAGAGGGCTCTGCAGGGGGGCTTCTGCTAATTAGACTGGAAGTAATGTGCCGACATGCACGCGCACCACCCCTCTCCATCTTCTTCACGCAATGCAAGGAGACGACCTTTACTCAGACTCAAGAGGGCCAGACTGACACAGATAAGTCTATATTCCAAACATACTGACAGTCTGCTTACAATTCCATGTTAAACACAAGAGCATCAACAAGCATATTAGTGATATATATGTGGAAGTGCTTTTGATCTCAAAAGTTAAATGACAACTTACTAATCAGCACTGGAATAACATCACTATTAGCATAATTTATGTTTACCTTAATTAGAATATTATATTCAAACAATATTAAACATAGTAACTAAAATGTGTTTTGTTAATCTCTCTTTTCAAAATCTAAATCCAATCTGCATTAACAAGCACACCTTTTCCTAAGTGGTAGGGATTAAAAAACAGGCCTGTTTTTCTTTTGTTGGCCACAAGATGGCAGCAATCTAGCAAATTTGAGCATCTTCACTATGAAAACAACTGCAGGGGATTTTTTAGATCCTGGCCACAGTTAAAAATGTGAGAAACCCCACACATAAGAGCAAATTCTCCTGATTTTTGTCTAGATGTCAACGCCCCTCTAATACAAGAATTGTCCAGAACAAAACACCACACACTCAGATTCTGCTCACAAATCAGCAACCTCATCAATTTTCCCATTTCTCAGAACCTGAAACCTTGCAGAATTTCTTGTGAACCAACATGACTTTACAAAACAAACATTATGTTACACTACATTATGAAAATTCATGAACATAATACTACACGGTTCTCCAAAGGCATATATAACTGAACAGCCCCCCATAATGATGGAAAACACCTCCTTTTTAATTGATGAAGCAAGTGGGCACGTTTTGGAAATTGCTTATTTAGTGTCACATTTAAAGGCTGGAGATATAACAAAAAATACTGTGCTAATTATTTTTAGATATCACTCAGGCCTACAAACATAAGACAACCATCAGCTTTCTGAGGCTGACCTCATGTCCTGGATGAGGGAGATTTTGAGAGGGGGCATAGCGCAGCCTGCGTCTGACTTCCGCCTCTCTGTGTCATGGATGATACCTGACGAAACAAAGGAGAGAGAAGGTCAAGCTGACAGACCCCGAAATACTTCAGTATAACCAATGAGGAAAATATAAGGCAGTGAGTTCTCTGCTAAAGAGAAGTGACCAAAATCTTACCAGGAGGGCCCAAGCTAGCTGGTGTGGCATCCCTCTTCTCTTTGCTCTCCTGATAATGTAGCAAGTGCGACCACAAGGCTGATTTTCCCTGTCAAAGAGAAGACGACTCAAGCTCACATAAAGCCAACTCACAAATTCAGTTCTTTTTTTATAATTTGACCACACAGTGGTGCTGAATAGCTGAATTTTGTAAATTTGAGCACTAGATTAGCAATAGATCTCTGCAAAGCTGTCAATCACTATCTCAACACAAAAACAATATCACTGGTCAGGACTGCTAATATTATATTGATAATACTGTCAAATCGCTAAAGCCCAGTAACAACACTGTGTGTATATTCCTGGTATACCTGTTTGACCTGCAGACCATGGCTCCAGATTCTCTCCAGTAGGTCACAGAGGCTGGCGATGAGTGTGTTCTCCTCCACGCCGGTGATGCTGACCTCCCCATGGCCCAGCTCTACCGCCTCCCTGCCCATCTTCTCCACCAGCATGCGCTTGGTCTGAGTAAGGGACAGCCGCAGGTCACATAATCAGACTGCATATGAGTCTCAATGTATTTGAAGTATTTCCTTTTGAGGTTTCACAGATTTTTAGTGTCAATAAAAATCCACCCTCACTGAACGTTATATAAGAACTACAATCAGGAACATGATGCTATTTTGAACAACGAAATGTAAGGTGCCAAGAGAACTCTTGTTTGAGAGATGTTTTTTTTTATCATTTTAAGGTTAGGTTTAAAGATAAAGTTATGAGCTTATTTATAAGTGTCTCTTTTTATAATTATATTACTTGAGACTTGATGAGTTTCTACTGTTTATGTGCGTTAAAAGGCCTCCTTTATACCCACCATTTCTAGCATTTTATTTTTATCCCTGAGGTCCACATTTGATTGGATAGTTAGAATTAAGCAGACTACTTTACGTGACAGAAGCTGTGACTGTGATATATGTTAATGTGCTCAGGTTCTGATTGGCTACCCTTTATCGTTCCTTATTCAATAAGCAGTCCAAACCAAAACACTCCTTATAACTTCAGCACAAATGGGCGAGGTTAAACTGCTAGACTGAATAGACAGATATAACAATAAAATAACGGATGTAAATTAGTAAAAATGTAGAACAATTATCTCAAAACAGGCTGTTTGTGCAGCTTGATTTTCATACATTGACTGTATGGACTGAAAAGTGAATAGTATGTATTAAAATAGTACGGTTTGAAAACTGGGAACTGTCGATTAATTGCAAGCAAATCAAGTGACAGTACTGAATAGAATACATGAGTCTGTTTAATTTTTGACCATAGACATTCTTAAAATCAGTACTGGAAAATTTTCAGATTGGTCAGGCCCTGTCAGGCACAGTTTAAATAGTTAAGCATTCCTGGACCTCCAATCTAAAACACTGCATGGCTCTTCAATGTTAAATCAGTAACTATACCTTATTCCTGCACTCCTTCAGTAGGCCCTCCACAAACTTCCAGTTGGTCTGGGCGATAACGGAGGGGGACAGGTTGGAAAGCTTGGGCTGGCGGATGGTGGTGCCCAAGTTCCTGGCCTCCTGGATGTACTTCTGTAATCACAGAGTGAAAATGTGAGAGATTGTAGGCTGCTGTAAAGAGTGTGCTCTAAACACTGTAGGAGAAGCAATCACATTCACAAGGATCTACAAGACACCACACAAACCGGTGAGTGGCTCATGTCTTTCTTATTTTTGAAAAAGTGCTTTCTTCAAAAAATTCTGGTTCCAGTAGTTTAAATAAACATGAGCATGGAATGCATGAAACTGCAAAGCAGCCCAAACTGCCTTCACATAAACTCTATTTAAAGGGGAATGAAGCAACTTCTCACAACAAGCATAGGCACTGCTGCTGCTATCTTCTGCTTTGGGCTGTTTGACTGATTTCACACATGTAAACAATCAATTAAAACTGTAATGCACTCTTTAATTTTTTGTATAACGTTTTATTTGGGTCATATTATTGTTGAATTGGCATTTATTGTTTTCATCACTTCCAACACTACTGCTTCCAACACTTCTTGCAAAAGCAAAATCCGAGCGACTACGCTAGCATGGCAATAAATAAATATGCTACACTATACTACATTCTTAAAAAGATGGTTCTTCAAGGCTTCTTTAGTAAAGGTAATGGTTCTATTTAGAACTATGAGCTCTATATAGAACCATTTCATGCTTAAATAGTTCTTTGCATGAAGAAATGGTTCTTTAGATCGATGGAGAATGTGTTGTATACTGCTCTGCATAGAACCTTTTTGAAAATGGTTCTATATAGCACCAAAAAGGGTTCTTCTATTGTTACAGTGTCAAGCTTGTCACAATATAAAGACACATTCTCCATCAGTCTGAAGAACCATTTCACCATGCAAAGAACCATTTAAACATGAAATAGTTCTTTATAGAACTTATGGTTATAAACAGAACCATTCTCTTTACTAAAGTGCCCTTGAAGAACCATTTTTTTAAAGAGTGAAGTACTATACTTAATATTCATAAATTTAGCAGAGAACAGTGGCAGGACCAGCCAGCAGTTCCTAATTCTACATGTGTATGCTGGATTCTCCATGTTATTAATTGTCAATGATAAAAGTTTAGAGTTTTTTTTATTACAGTGTGAAGTCAACTTCTCTGATCAGCAGATATGATGCAACTGCAGGGTGCATAGCTGCTTGTTAACTGTTGTGAAACTGGTCACCAGTAACAGTGCAGTCGCTAAAGCAGGGAAAGCCCATTATGTCAGGATCATATCACAGCAAGTTCACAGCATCTGACAGACCAGCACATACCGCGTCCACCTTGACAGACTTTATACATGGTCTGAAGGACTGCGAGAACCAGTAGTAGTCCAGAGCCACCAGCAGCTGGAGCTCAGGAAACAGACACTCCAGATGCTAACAGAGTGTATGTGTGTGTGTGTGAGATTGTGGAAGGACAGGGTCATGCAAGAAAGAAAAAAGGGAAGAAGAAAGAGGTCCAGGCAAAAAAGTAGAGAAAAAACAACCAAAAACAATTAATCAATTTTGCTACACAGAAAAGGTGAAACAAACAGTGAACTCAAACAGACAGAAACACAAAGAGTGAGACAGCAACATGCAGAAACAAGCTAAAGTAACATAAACCAATAGGTCAGACATATAAAGCTATAACAGGGTAACAGCAGAGGTGGGGTGCTTGCCTCTCTCTGATCATTGTCCAAATAGAGGTGCTCAGCATGTTGTTTCTGTCTGTCCTTCCGTCTCCACTGTGCAGGAGCGCTCCGTTTGGCCCATCTAGGTGGAAAAAGGCAGACAGATAAGACATCAACTCATAAATACACATTTGTCCAAACGATTTCTATTTTGTAGTTATTTTGTAGTTAATTTATATTCAATATAACAATCATGTCTGTTGCATTTGCATTTAAAGTGCTGTAGTCTACTCTTATTTCATTGTTAAGTTTTAGTTGGAAACAAAAAGGTGAAATTCTTGAAATACCTAAAGGAAAATTATTCAATTCAATTCATTTCTTCATGGTATCTAGGCAGATACAGCCAAGCCAGCTCTCCCATTGGTTAGAACTTCAGAAGCAAAACTAAAGGCTGTGACATTAGCCCCATTTGATTTCCAATGGGTGAAACCAATTTTATGAGATGAAAAAACATCACTCCACGCCTTCTGGACGTCCTAGATACATCACTGACTGCGAGTACAAGTGGTAGCCTGAAGATTTCTGCATTAAACGCTGCTAGATAATAACATGCACAGCCATGACAAGCTGATTTTTTGGGATTATTACATTTCAAAATAGCCCCAGAGTTTTATTTTTGGCCAAGAAATGAATGCAGTGGTTACTGAATATTATTTTAATCAATATAATCGATTCTAACATTCTAGGATCAATACAACTGTCACAATGCACTGATCCATTTATTCACCCATAGTTTCACCCTAGGTATCACAACAAAACAGCTACAATAAACTTTGCTGTGTAATTAGTTTTGGCTGGTTAGTCTCACTTGTTGCTGGTGGGTCCACTGGAGAGCACATCAGACTGCAGGCGGGGGAAGAAGCCCTGCTCGTAGCGGCCCTGGCCGATCTTCATGTCCAGCAGGTGTGGGTGGAGGGCTGTGTGGTCGATCTTTGTCAGCCGCATCTCGATGGCCTTCTCTGAGGGGACATAGGGCAACAGGAACGTTAATGGCATTTCGAAAATAAAAGTGATCCTGCTGAAAGCAAGAGACTTACATCACCTGTAGGCCTGCTGTGCACTGTGTGAGTCAGGGAGAGTGAGAAAGTGAAAAAAGGCCATTTAGCCACCGATTCTCACCCACACACCATGCTGTGAGTAAGCATTACACAACCCAACGCCTCCTCTAATCACTGATCAAAGGCATTTTGCAGATGCCATGACCATGTGGGTTTAGACTGTTAACATTGTCTTTCTTTTTTATCAATGGTTAGTATTTTTAATTACCCACAATGCATTATTTATCATGTACTGCCATGTATTGCCTTAAAAAGAAATGGGAAACAGAATATTCAGTGAGACACTGCAGTAGATTAGCTCTTAGGGTTAGAATGGTTTTCCTTCCATAATGATGTACTTAACCTTTTAAATTATATTTCAACCATATTAAAGCAACTGTGTTTCCCACCACTGCTTAAACAGGGCTAATGGAGGACGCAGCAAGGTTAATGACACTACATGATAATCAGAATCATTTCCATAATGCATTGCAGGCATCAGTCTATTCACCCACCACCCAGGAACACAAGCTAAATGGAATGAGAGACCTGAATCACTAAGGTGAGCCTTGTTCTCCTGATAAACAGGACGGGGTGGAGGGGCCACCAGATCAACTTTCTGATAGCGGTTTTTAAGGAGCGTCTCTGAAAATGGAGATAAGCAAACATGTCCTCACATGAAACACTCACTATCAAAACCATCTGTATGTTGTCCCCTTTTAAGAACATTCAGTGAGATGCATTTGATCAAAAATATATACAGTACTATCAGAGACAGTTAGGGACACCTTTTATTTATTAAATTTTAATATATTTATTTCAACAAATAAATATAATATACATTGTTTTGAAATCTAGTGTGTCCACCCTTCGCCGTTATTACAGTTTCCATTCTTTTCAGGAGACTTACTTTCAGTTTTTCAAAGAAATCTGCAGGGACATTTTTCCACACCTCCGAAGTTCAGCCTTAGAAGTTGGTTGCATTTTCTGCCTCTCACAGTGACAGTGACTGCGATTTAAATTGTGATTATTTTCTATAAATTCAGGTTCAGGCCATTTTTTGCCAAGAACACCAGAATATCCACTTTTTCTGGTTAGAGGCTTGACCCCCAAGTTTAGTGTGCCAAACTGGAGGTTTAGTTGCCTCTGATTGATCTAACTTATCTACAGGCTTTATAGAAGCTCTGTGTTATTGGGTTAAATTTCCCCACTTAAAATAATGACGTTTTTGATAATGTAGGCTTTTATTTTTTTTAATTGCTGTTCTTGCTATTTGACAATTGCGCTCTCTTAAATTGTAATTTTGATATAAAAAAGATTGATCTTTCAGACCTAGTCTACCAGGTCTTCCATGGTTGTTAGAAGTTCACATTTAATCTCCTCAGAATATAAATATTAATAATTTGAACTAAATGTCAGTTTTAATAGAAAATTAAATAAATGAAGAGAATTCTCTGACTTTTGCACAGTACTGCATACAATACACAGTCACTGTCTGTAAAGAGAATCTCCAAAAGGAGAATGATAAGGAAAAAAACCTTGAACTAATCTGAAATTTCTAGCAGTTTATTTATCATGAAACATTCACACAATCTAAAAAGCAGCCAGTCCTTTCACATGCACGCTTTCTGAGATGCTTATCTTCCTGGATCACAGGGGGTGCTGGAGCCTATCCCAGCGCTCACTGGGCAGAAGGCAGGAAACACCCTGGACAGGAGGTCCGTCCATCAGAGGGCAGACATACACATTCACACAAGGGCCAATTTAGCATCTCCAATACACCTGACTGCATGCACTGTGGGAGAAAACCCACACAGACATTGTCGTCCAGCCAGGGAATCAAACCCAGGCCCTTCTTGCTGTGATGCACCACCGACAGCCACTGCACAACTGCGCCAGTCCTTTCATACAGTAAATAAATAAATAAAACAGTAATGATATGTACAAAGTAGACAGAACAAAGAAAACATGCTCTGACCTGCTTCATCAATGTTGGTGCACTTCTGGTACATGGAGGTGCGCAGTGTTGGTGTTCTGACGTTCAGTAGCCGGATCTTGTCTACCCGGGCGTCAAACACTCGTAGTGTGTGCTCTTTGTCCTCGTCGTCGTGGTACAAGATCTTGCTGTCGATGAAGGAGGCGAACATCTGCGTCTCTAGGAAACGGGAGAGGAAGGGCAGGTATGGCTCCGGCTGATCAGACAGGAAGGAGGCCTGTAAAGGACAAAATTCATAAATGCTAAGAGGTAGTCTTAAACCAGTAGCTCAGCAAAAAATACTTCTGTCCACTTGATTTCTTCAACATTCTTTTGTGTTGTGATGATTTAGGCATGCAGTTTGCACAGTGCTAACTGGTGGGATAAAAGCTCCCACCCAGCCTATAATGTAAAAAACATTTTTAGGTTATATATTATATTCCACAAAATACAAACTACAATGGTCTTGGTCTTGACCTAGACACAATGAGTCCAGATCTCTTTCTTGACTCGGACTCGCCTCTAGCGGTCTTGACTACAACACTATCAGACACCAAACATGTCTTGGTGACCAACCCCATTTGGGATGAGAGGGAAAGTGTGTAAATTAGATTGTTGCCAACTTATCACGTAATGCAGTATGTTGAGACTTTGCAGAACCTAAGCAGACGCTCACCTTGTCAAAGTTCTGCATCTGGTCACGGTTGCTGAACCATGACTCTTTGTCCTGGCTGGGTTGGATGACAAAGACCTCATAGTCGGCAAACATCTGTGTGAAGCGGTTAGCAAAGACCTCCCGGACTTGAATGTTCAGCTGGTGCATCTTCAGCTCTTCCTCATCGCACTGCATCTTCAGATCCTTATTACTGCTTGCATTCTCCTTCACATCCAGCTAGAGAAAAAGACACAGATAATGCTCACAAACATATCCACATTCATTCTACATTGCATGCTCAGTCAAAATCTCGTTCATAAATAGAAAGATAGTACACAATTTTTTTCATATTTTTTAGATTCCTAACTACATATACTTAATATGCTATACATATACTTAAATACCAATTGAGTAAATTAAAAAGTAGTTATTTCAGACATTAGGTATTAAGTTTGGATATGTATATATCTACACCTGACTCTAACTTCAAGTTGCTTATCCTAGAAAAAAAGTTTCTAAAAGCTATCTGAGAAAAAGGCTGAGGACAACAAAGCATGACTATCACTGTCAAGTTCTCTACCATCTATTTTCATTGTAAAAGGAAGCAGGCTGTCTTTCAGAACACATGGACATTCAGGTAGAGCCAGATAGTAGGAAGAAGGAAAGAAAGGGTGTGAAAGACAGGGCTGATTCAAAGTCAGCAAGTTATCTTATCTCCTCGGTAACACACTGTCTGGGGAGATAGGAGCCTGGGAAAGGAAGCGTGCGAGTTTGTTTTGATCTATGCGACTAACAGGGCGCGTTCCCCAGAGACTATGTGATCCTGCTGTGAGGCGGGTACTGGAGGAGAAAGAAGTGAAAACACATAAGCCTGAGAAGCCTTCTAAGGACACAGAGTGGGATGTTGAGTCAGGAGGATGGAAACACAAATGCATTCTTAAAGGAATGTTTTGGTTGAAAATGTTCCTTATACCCCAGATGCTTCTTTTAAAAACTGGAACACAGAGGCTAACATTGCTAACAAAAGCTAGAACTCAACATTCATCCAAATAGCAAAAATCATCTCTGTAAAAATACATCGAAACTTCTTTCACCCACTCAAACCACACCCAGGTCTTTATTAAGGTCGTACAGACTTGTCAACGTGGTTTAGGACACAGTATGACTTACTGTGAGCTATAAAAATGAACAAAAACTGCAGGAAAGCACTTCAGCCAACAGGGTTTGTTTTTACAAACTACCTCAGGTGTAGGTGTGCTGATCTAGGAATCAGCGTTTGTGACAAGTACTGTGACAAATACGAGTTCTAGTGTTTGTTACCAATGTTAGACTCGTAGCTTCATACTAGTTGATCAACCACATCTAGGGTACGTGGTAAAATTAAGTATGTTTGATTTTTCACAGACTATTCCTTAATTAAATTAAGTTACTAAACAGTTCTAAAATGTTTTAGTAAATACCTTTAATTGGTAAAGAACATTTATACTATGCAGAGATTAATTAGACTTCAAAAATCTTTTTCATACTTACATCAGTCTGCAAGTTGGGTAAAGTGACCTCAATCAGGGTTCAACTCTGTATACCTCACACCTAGTGTGTTATGTACTACTGACTAGGGATCCCCAGATACCTGGTTCTGAATGCAAACTATAAATATGTAAAACCTTCAATAATCTAATATTACCCTGAACATTAAGTCATGTAAACGCAGGGTGAACATGAAAACAAGCTGAAAACAGAGCAACACTGTCTGCATGTTTCAACTTCCATATGAATGTAGCTCTTCCGCTCTCATGCAGCTACGGGGCATCTTGTTTCGAGGAGAACTGTAGCTTTCTATTTTGCTATTGCTTATGTTAGTTTGTTAGTAAATTTATTCATAATTCTCCCACAAGCACTAGCCAGTACAGCCTCCGCCATCCAGTGCTAACAATACTGATATTACTAACATTGCAAGCATTAACAGTTTGTTTTGCTTACAGATGTCACTTCAGACTCAACATACTTTGGTGCTAAACAAATTCACAATGACAGAGAAAAACAGAACCAAGGTAAATTTCTATATAACAGCTGTATTTGAATGAGAGGGCTTCAGTCACGTAGTCACAGTAAAAGTGTGTTATCATTATTACATTAATGTGTTAATAACAAAATAATGTAATGTACCACTAGTAAAAAGTAAAGGACTGATAAGGTTTGATAAGATCTGTTGTATAGAGTTCTGCTATTTGTGCTGGAGCATTTGGAATTTATGGAAATGTTGCAATCTGGCTGCTCTCACTTTCTCCCTCCTTTTTTTCTCTTGGCGCCTGTCTTTGTGCAAGAGGTGTGGCTGTGATCTCTAACACACACTTACAGAACAACTTGAGAATTCACAAGACTCACCAATGACAGAGAGACACAAAATGATAAGAGTGACTCATTAAAACATTGCTCTTATTGCTGCTGAGAAATATTACTCTATATAAACTAATAAAGCAATGTGGATTCTGTTCTTAGTGAATTCTTCTTGTGTTGTTGCTTTTGACAAAGTAATAGATTCAATATGAGAAGCAGTAAAGTACAGACTCAGTAAGGATAAGCATTATTGATGAGAGAAGTAGTATTGCTAATTCCTAACAGTATTAATCCTTAACACAGACTGACGAAAGGATGCATCTAGTCTGAGCGTGCAAGTTCAACTTAGAAACTCTCGCTAGCCTTTTGACCAAAGTATTTTCAGACTCATTTTCAGGTCAATCCTTTTCCTCCACAAACAGGCTGGGTTTAAGCAGCTTACCCTGCAGAGAGTGTAGGGCACCACTTCCTAAGATTCAGTCTGGTTCAACTGTTAACTACAGTGTCTAAAAACTAGGACTTTTGTCTGATACCACACCCTCCACATCTGGATTTACAGCAGAAACCAATTAAGCTTTGTGATGACTGTTTATAATCAGCAGTCTCTACCGACAGTCGCAATGTAGATCAAGTTAAAATAAAAAATAGGTACGCATAATTTCCCATGTAATTCTATAAAGTACTAGAATGGGTCATAATCTCCAAGACAAACTAACTGACAATATGAATTTAGGATTAGAAATGAGAACATTTTTTGACTTCTGTGCTCCAAATGCAACCAACAGCTTCTAAGACTGCTCAAAACTTTTAGAAAAGGCTATGAAATGTAAACACTGCTATAAGCTAAAACTGATGCAGTAGCATCTGATCCTTACATTCTTTGCAACACACAATGTAAACATTTTCAACTCTCTAAGATTAAAAATACTTAGTGACTTGATTCACAAACAGCTTGTCAGACAGAAGTTAGATCAAGACATAAATGAGCCTGTTGTGCTCTAAATTTTGTTAGTTGATCCATAATAGAGATGCTTACAGGTTTAAATTATATATATCAATAAAACCTGGTGATAACCCTACCCTTTTAGATTTAAAAAATGCTAATAACTCTCTAAAATAACCATGTACTGACAAAAGTTAGGGTGGAAATAAATCGCCTACTGCACAGCACAAGCACAGTGCACATTTGCATAGTCACAATCTGAACAGTAAACAATTGTAGTGCTATTAAAATGAGGTAACATTCGATAATTTGTTGTTTATTTACACTAAAGCTCCTTCTTCACTTCTTAATTAAATGTGAGTTTTTGTACTAAATAGGTGAATGCTAACATCTCGCTGCATTATTTAATAACTCAACTTGCAGATCTATTTACCTTAAAAATAGCTGATTGTTTTATTATTATTTTATACAGTTTTACAATTAATTTATCCTCACTGTAAAGATGACTATTACTGTCACTCTGCGGTAACCGGAGTAAGAGGTGGTTGGTGATGGGCCCAAATGACAGAATTTTGTTGTACTCTGGCCAGTTTCAAACTCAAGTTGGGTTGGATTCAGACTGAATTTTGGGGTGTTGGGCTCAGACACAAATTTTTTGGGCTGTATTTCAGACCAAAATTTCAAGTCCAATTAAAGCTGTAGTTTAGGCTCACCTTCTCCAGGCTCACTCCGGTCCTCTTCACAAGGGCCTGCAGACGGGCGATGGTCTGGTTCTCTCTAAGCAGGTAAGAGTTCAGGGGGGAGCTGGCCAGGTTGCCGTTGCGCTTGTCGGAGACCATGTCGGCTGACCGAAACCCTTTGATTTTGGCAGGACCCTCGGTGCAGTGCACATTTCCCTCTGGAGACACCCCAAATGACATCAGAACCTCCGAGATCTCCTGGATGAATTCCAGCTTGTTGGGGAACTGGGGCAAGTCTTCAGGAAGCTCAATGAAGTGGTTGTCAATGTCGACGAAGCACAGATTGGCCTGAGGAGAAAAATAAAAGATGAAACTGAAAAATCAAGCAACACACAGCTGGTCATCTTCATAACAAGTAAATGTGGGATGCTGTTGCTGTCCACTAGATGGCTATAAATGATATAATAACAGTATTTTATTACTGGCCTGCTATGTGAAAGCACATTTTCTATATGGATGAGATGAACCTCATCAAAGACACATAAATGGAATTTATAATGAATTATGTCCGTATAAAAGCCCATTAAATGAATGGCACAAACGACAAACTGTGCTTTGCTTTCATAGTCTTTGCATATTATGTAAAACTGTCAGGCAAATAGCTTTTTGCATTACACCAATAATTTCATAATGTAAATGTGCTCTGGGTAGGTGGGGAAAGCACTCACTGATGAACGAAGCGATAAGAAGATTTAATAAAATCATCATTCACAAATTTACCACCCTCACGTATAATGGCATTTCTCCCTGGACTTACTCCAAGAGTTTAAGAGCAAAATTGGCACAAGTGCAAGTAAACACACTCTGTGTAAGAAAGACACTGTGGAAATGTGAGGACTTTACGGTATTTTGGCTTCCACACTTGTGAATCCTGGAAAGAAATTTGATCACCCTTCTACACAATATGAGACATATCTCTGAGATTCTTTAAAATGTCAGTAACTTGATTTAATTCTAAAAGAACATAAAGCCCCAACGAACCTAAATTTGTGTTTTCTTTCCAAGCAGGTTAATCTTGCTCTTGTGGGTAAACATACACCGATCAGGCACAACATTATGACCACCTCCTTGTTTCTACGCTCACTGTCCATTTTATCAGCTCCACTTACTATATAGGTGCACTTTGTAGTTCTACAGTTACAGACTGTAGTCCATCTGTTTCTCTGCATACTTTGTTAGCCCCCTTTTACCCTGTTCTTCAGTGGTCAGGACCCCCACGGACCCTCACAGAGCAGGTACTATTTGGGAGGTGGATCATTCTCAGCACTGCAGTAACACCGACGTGGTGGTGGTGCGTTAGTGTGTGTTGTGCTGGTACGAGTGGATCAGACACAGCAGTGCTGCTGGAGTTTTTAAACACCTCAGTGTCACTGCTGGACTGAGAATAGTCCACCAACCAAAAATATCCAGCCAACAGCATCCAGTGGGCAGCGTCCTGTGACCACTGATGAAGAACTAGAGGATGACCAACACAAACTGTGCAGCAGCAGATGAGCTATCGTCTCTGACTTTAAATCTGTCTCTGACTTTAAATCACAGTGTTTAAAAACTCCAGCAGCACTGCTGTGTCTGATCCACTCGTACCAGCACAACACACACTAACACACCACCACCACGTCAGTGTTACTGCAGTGCTGAAAATGATCCAGAACCATCTTAACGCACCATGTCAGTCATTTTTACAGATTTATTTATTCTGCCACCTTTTACTTTCCATTAAATGAGCATAGAGATAACCTCAGGTTATATTATATCTCGTGTTAAACAAAATGTCGATGAATATCCTATCATATCTTGTGGAAACTCAAAGAAGCATTTACTTGTGTTCTCTGTGGCTAAAATTAAGCTGATATGCAACGTCACTGTCACATCTTACATGTACAACTCAAAAGGTAAAAATTACAGCAATTTTATGCTGTGACGTTGACCGCCTGCTGTAAATTCCCAAGTTTATGGCGAGAGCAATGATGCACTGTTTTCACTTAAGACAGTAAGTTAAATGGTTAGGGTAAACAAAATAATAGCTAAATTAAATATTTTGATCATTTCTACTCTTTTCTAGAGTAAAGACAGTGCATAAATTGAGTAGCCACTCACATCTCTGTCATTTATCCTGAGATTTCTTATCCTGTGCGAATAAGTCATAAACATTACACATGTCCTGTGGTAAAGCGGCATTATCCCGCTTCCCTGTGGAAAACTAATCCTGTTTGAATAGGGCTAATGTCCACTAAACAGCCAAGGTATTTGCTAAAATTCTCTTCTTTTAATGTAAACTGGGTCCTAATCTTGGTTCACGTGTTTTAACAAAACTGTGATAGAGAAACTTATCATACGAAAGCTAACAACCAAGTAAAAGCTAACCAAGCAAGCGAAACTGAGCTTAGTAAGCTAGCTCATCTGTTTAACTGTTGTCTGTCTATTCATATGTTGTTCGTTAGCTGCCCCAGAAGCACTTCCCGGATGCATATCCAGCAGTATAGTGAAAAATAACCTTATTTTCTTTAAGACGTCGCCACATGAAAGCTAGATAATATGTTTAGGGAGTCATGGATGCACCAGGCATAGTCTATAACACAACCTTTATATGTAAAGCCCATTTCACTAATTTCTCCTCACTTGCATTGTCGTGCTCTGACCTGCTTCAGTGCAGTTGCACTCTGGCATGTTGGACTGAGGAATGTCAATCACGTGCTTATTAGCTCAGACAGTTCTCAGATGGGTAAGATAAGCATTTTTTATGCCATGTTTTACTTTTCTAGCTTGTTTTTTTTTCATTCAGACTTTGCTGGATGCTAGGTTTGGCATAACAGTCAATTTTAACATCACATAGACATGTTTAATATTTTGAACTGTATTCCCCATGGGACTTGCAATTAGAGGCAGAAAGGCAAAAACATGCAATCCGTCACTTATTCAGGTCACTCTTTTAACAATCACAAAAGCCATACATTGCTGCTTTCTATCTAGTGATTCAGGGAGAAGCAATTACAATGATCAAGGACAAAATGAGTCTAGACAAAAGATGATATCTCATCTGTTAGTTAAGCTTCAGTGATTTTCTCCACAGATTAGACCACTTTAGCCCATTACTGTGGCCCAAATATAAAGAAGGAGATGGAAGAGGGACAAGAAGTGTGCTTCCAGGCGGGATATGTTGGAAGTCCAGTAACAGAGAACACATGCCTCTGCATTAGAATGACAGGATATTGCTTCTGACATGCTCTCTTTTTAATAAAGAGTAAGGCATATGCAATATTCAATTCAAGTGCCTTACAAAAATCTGGAAGGATGGAGAAAGTTTCAGAATCAGAGTAAGTAAAGTATCAAATAAGGCTTCACTATGTATAAGTTAACTGTTTGCTAATGCTAACCATTTTTACTAACCATGCAATTTGCAAATGAGCCTATATGACATCAGATGTTATTTATTGTATGCAAAAAAATATAGCGACCAAAACTGAGACATTTCAGGAGGGATTTTTAGTGACTGTGTTGATAAATCAAGGCATTTACATTACCCAAGCATTAATTATTTTGAATAAAAATGATAAATACCATGACAAATCAAGTGTTTATTAATGTACTGTAGTATTGTCATAGCGATATTATTATGATACAATGTTTTAGATATTGTACAGCCTGTATGGATAAAATACTGTGCCAGAGAAGGCTCTTCGTTGATAGCAATTATCCATTGAAAGTCCTTTGTTTAGATCAGCAGTGCTCTTAAACTGTGTCTGAAAAATAAAAAATGCCTACAAAAATGACACATGACCAAGTTCACTCATGTAACCTCTACTGACTCTTCTGTAAGAGTTTCCTCAACATGTGCCCCACTAGTTTGGCAACCCTACAACTTTCCTAGGAAAGACGTTCATAAAACTGGAGTACATTTTTCAAATTCTTTCTGAATTGTTCCTGGAGCAAAGGAAGAGTTCTTTTAAACAGCAAAGAAGACTGAACATACTAGATCTCTTTTATCCACCATGCAATGGACACTGCTTACATTTCATAATAAGTAACATTTAAGTACATTTAATACATAAAGTAAACTAGTGACCTCTCCTAGATTATTAACGTCACAGAATGCAGGTTTGTGAAAGCAACAGTTAAAAAACTGACTGCAGGAGAAAAAGGAATTGTGTGCAGAGCACCGAAACAATGAAACAATCTATCAATTATTGTAAAAAAGATTTTAAAATGTAGCCGTAAAACTTTTTCAAATCTGACTTTTCAATGAATGTTTTTTTGTTTATTGATTTTATTATTTCTTTTATGCAATCTTAATACTTACCTTTTCTGCATTTCAATATATACATTAGAGTTTAAAAGTTTAGAATCACCTGCCATATTATTTTTTTTAAGTTTTATTTACAATAATAACTTATATGGTATGGATTTAAATATTATTATTCAACAAAACATATTTTCAGACATTTTATTAGATATTTCAAGAATTCCGTAAACAAGAAATTAATCAAATGATGAATAAGAGTGTAAATAGCTATTTACATGCACTTTTAGCCAAGTTACCAGCCTTGAGATTTGATCTCCACTTCTGAATTCTGTATATTAATTCAATTTTTACTAATTTCCACTGCTATACACTTTTCAAGTCATTTTAGAAACTTGTACAGCTCCATATATCATTCTGTGCATTTCAAACACTTTGTGTTTTATTTACAGCTTCCTAGTGTCCTACTGATTATTTGAAACCTGTGAGATTGCACTTTACATGCATATTACAATCATAAAGCTTTTCATTTAGAATCAACTTTTTTCATTTAAAAGAAGGTTTCTGTTTCGAAACGCTGTCTCGTGACACTTTGAAAGTACAAAATGTGCCACATAAATAAAGTTCAGTTCTGTTCTGTTTGCCCCCCCACTCCCCCCCACTGACCTCCTGAGGCAGCTCCAGTTTGGTGCGGTCGTCCTGGCCATTGGAGTGAAGGCCCATGAGGTAGGGCACAGGCGCATCCAGGAAGTGCAGCAGCGAGGCAGGCAGGATGGGCACATAGACATGCTGCCACTGGAACGGGAACATTAAGGCCGTGATGCTCTCTGCCACGGTCATCAGCCGCTGGTAATCTGCTCGACACAGACATGAGGCAGAGTTAGACCACTTACAGAAAGAACTTTACTCTACTTTTAAGTGAAAGTTTGTTCAAAATCAAAATAAAATTTACCAGAAACGTAATCAGCCAAGAGAGTATCTGACTAATTGTTAGAAAATGTACAAAAGTATGTTGCAATCATCTCGAAGCCTGAATTCTGCCGATAATTTTATCCAAGTTTATACATAATGGTGTTAGAATCCACATAAGCAAGTCTATTTGAGATGCTTAACCAATGTGATGATACAGACATGCAGTTAGCACTTTAAATATCACTTTAACTAATCCAGATAAAACAAATGACATTACCAAGTATATTTTCCTAGTTGCAGACACTTAATAATTGGGCAAAAACAAGAATCTCAGCCACAGATTTGTATTACTGTATTAGGATAAAGACCAAAGATGAAAAACATTCCATTGTCCAATTTTTCTTAGCATTTTTTTCCTGAGAGCTGAGCGCTTTTGAACAAGTGTCTGCTCTAGATTTCTGCATATCGAAAATATCCAGGGTTGCGTATCTCTCAACCCATGCATGGTTAAAAATGCATTCATTGTCCCCGTGAGGACACTTAAGGCTTAAAATGCCATGTTTCAAGTGGGTGTTCTATTTTTACTGATTGTGAAACTAGTAGACTAACAGCACAATGTATTCACTTTGAAGTGGTGTACTCAACAAAACACTGCGATAAAAGATAAGAAAGATTAACTCATGGTACATACATAAAAAGGGTTCAATAAAGTGGCAAAAAATCCTATGACTTCAGACAATAGTTTGGTGCTACTTTTTTAAAAGGTTCATGCAAAAGTCAGAGAACACTCTTATTTAATTTCCAGTCAAAATGACAAGTTCAAGATCTTAATTTTTCAGGAGATGTTTCTGAGGATATTACATAAAAGACAACACATACGCAAAAGGAGGAAGAAGGTCAAAGGAAAATCAGTGAAAGAACAGCAAAACTCACTGAAAATTAAAAAAAATCACCAATTATTATTATTATATAAAAGAGAGATTTAGAGAAAACAGGACTCCTAACAACATTGTAAGACCTGGTAGAACACCAAACCTGTCACCATCAGATAAACAGCATTCAAGGCTTTCATTTCTGAGAGAGGGAAGAAAATCAAGCTGCACTCTTGCTCTGAAAAAATACACAGGTGTTTCTGTCCATCCTTCCACTGTGAGACGACAACTCAATGCTACGCGTCTGGAAGGGTGTGCAGCTGTCTAGAAGCCTTTACTGAGAAAGGAAAATAGATAAAAAATGCAAATGAAAAAAGCTGCTGGTGTTCCCAGAAGCATGGACTGGCAACCGTAGAGTCCAGACCTCATCATCACTGAATGTGTTTGAGAATACTTGTATCACAAGAAGGAGAAAATGTAACCAACTTCTAAGACTGAACTTTCGAGTTGTGGAAAGAATATTCCCTACAAATTTCTATGAAAAACTGAAAGCAAGCATCCTGAAATGAGTGGGAACTACTGAAGTACTGAAAATCTGATATTATATTAAGTCACTGAGGCTTCTGTGTAGTTGCTAAATATATGTCCTTGCACTTAATGGCTGTTCTGATTGGAAAAAAATCAAAGAAGCGTGGTCTCTGACTTTTGCACAGTACTGTATTTACAATGACAATAATAGGGTTAATAAAAATATGATGAGATCTGCAATAGATCCTATAATAACCATCCATCATAAACTTGTAAAGGAGCTGTAGTATGATTAGAATGGAATTTAAAAGAACCATTTTCTTTCAAAGCATTCAAATATTTTTTTTTTAGTTGTCATGGTTCTATTTATAACCATTATTTTTACTAAAGAGCCCTTAAAGACCCATTCTTTTAAAGAGTGTACATTTTCAACACATCTATTTCAGTCCTGTCTTTATAGTATAGCTCATTCTTGCCCTGGCTCTCTACGCTGCACTCCCCTTAGGGGATATTTTCCCAGGAAAAGGCCAGTGTCAGGAATACTAATCTATCCACTGAGCTCTGACCCTGAGGTCCAACAATAGGCCTATTCACTTACACAAACACACACACACACTTCAACCCATCTGTGGCATATTAGAAGAATGGCACACCTCAATATGTAAGTTTGTCTCATCCTCATTTCAAAACAGGGAAAAGCTGATTTACACTTTTTATTATTCACATTTTTCTATAATAACGAGCTGATCTGAGATAATAAAAAGATAACACTTCTGTCTACTTTGAATTAGATAGAGTTACAGAACGTAACACTGATAAGAGATGGATAAACACTGATAAGTGACATATTTACATTGATCTAGCTGCGAGGCTGGAGCAAAAACAACGGATGCTTGTCTAAAGGACGCGTGTATGTGGGAGAAACATTTGCCAGGCCCTTTCCGAATCTAAGCTATGAATTAGCTTGCTATTTATAGACCAACCCTAGCAGCCAGCTCCTTTTTTGTAGAGACCATCCCTTAGCCTACACGAGTGTTTGTGTATGTGTGTGTGTGTGAGTCTCAATCTAATGACACGCTTTCCGCTTGGAATCTCACACTCCTCGCACATTCTGCTGTGCTGATGAGTCTTGTTGAGAAAAAAAAACAGGATGATGTAATTTCTAGCCAATCATATTTCTGCTGCATCACTACAGTCCTCCTCGACTCAGGGTAGGTTGCCTGGCAACACCCCACCAAGGCACCCAAGCAGCTCCCTGACGCTTTGTCGAGCGCTTGCCCTTCCTTGTTGCTGTAATAGATACGACCATCACATCTGCTGCTGAGTTCTTCGACTAGCATCCGGTGCACTTTTCCATTCCGTCCAGAACAATTATCTGAGGATTTTTTTTCCTCCTACAATTGTGAATAGTCAGATATATTACATCTGACAGCTGAGCCAAGCAAATGACAGCTTATTTCATGTGGTACTGTATGAGAAACTGCACCAGTGAGGCTGTTAAAAGTCAAAACAGATACAGAATGGTGTTAAACTGCAAAGCTCAGAGCATCTTAGAATGGCTCCTTTTACATTTATCAAAAGATTAGAACGTTTAAGTCATCTAACCATTGACTCTGCTCCATTAGTAGACCCAGATTCAGTCTTTCCACAGCACTTCGTCAAAGGTAACCTCCCATTAATACTTCTGTACTTTCTTATGTGTCAGTCCAGGGTCCTGAGTCACTTGTTGGAGGATTCTATGCTGTGATCTTTGCAGAATACCCACTCTTAGTGAGCAATGGTACTGAATTTCTTCCTGTCTCACTGCTGACTAATGGGGCAGGGATGCTCAAAGTTTGCTCCAAACATGCAATCGGCCAGTTTATCCTACTTATTTTGGCTGCACAAAAAAAATCGACTTGTTCAATCCAAGAACAGCGTTGATTCTTCAGACTGTAGTAGGGCTGAAACCTTGACGGTAGAATGCCGACCGCAGTGAGACATAACAGAGCACAGCTAAGCGAGGCACATTTTAGATCAGAGGCGGTAACCACAACGCTTCTGCAAGCTTTCTACATTAAGCGTTGTGCGATCAACAGCAGAAGAGATGTGACTGGGCCACCGGGTTCAAAACTTCACGTGTCACTAGAAGCATATGCAAAATACCCCAGCGACATTTGTCGCTTACGTTGCGCTATGCTGCTGTGCTGCATGACTTTCGCTATAAAACAAGCTTGCGCCAGACCTATCTGTGCTGATGATATTTTGTATTCAGTGAATCAGAGCGTGCACTAATGTTTAATTAAGGACTAATTAAGTTGGTCAATGCCAAGATATTTTATGTATTAAAGTCAATAAAGTATTAAACAAATAATTGAAGTTCTGCATGTTATCCTAACACCACTTGGGTGTTGAAACTGTGCCACTGAAACAACCCAACTGTCCAGTTCCTATACACACATGTTCTATGTGTTTCTCCTTATGTAAGCCTTTATACAGAGTTTATATACTTTGTATACAGTTGATTTGTGGTCAGAGTACAGGTCCAGCAGTTGCTTTCTCTTTGATTTGTTTTAAAAAACAGGATTATTTATTTATTTGTTTGCTTGTTTAATCTGTACTCTTTAAAGCCCTCTAATTATGCATTTGTTTGTATTGATCTGCAAAACATATTGCACATTTTATCAAGTACAAACATGGCAAATATACATAGTGTTCTTTACAAAACTGCCATGTTGAAGAATCGCAACTATGAATGGTGAGCTCAATTCTAAATTCCCATTTAATTGGCAATTGTGCAGCCCCAATTTTGGCCGATGTGTGCTGCAATTATTATTATTATTAGTACTAATAAATAACGTGGGCCAGTAAGTGCACTTGTGCTGTATCTGAATGATGTTGCTTCATATATACCAAAATATCACAGCATAATCATGCATGAGTCATCTTGCTAAACAGCCAGTCACCTTTTAATTTCAATGTAACAGTTTATTCAGTTCATGTTTTTTCATCAATTACGTTGATTTTTTAAAACATGGCATCAACAAAAATATAGTAGTGTAAAATCTGTGGTGTTTTCTAAAACAACCATGTTTTAAATCATGATTACGTCGGACTTTAGGCTCCATTCATGCAGAAAAGTAAATCATTCACAAACCATTCACAACATGTTTTCTCTCAATTGGAGGTTGCAATCAAATAAATGTGCATTAAAGGGATTATGTTTAACTTTCTTTACATTAATCCCCCTCAGAAAGAGCTACGCTTAATTCATAGTGTGCCAAGAAAGGCAAAGCGAAGGCGAGGAGTTTAAAAAAGACTGGAAGAGAATAAAGTAAAGCAGCGAGAGAGAGAGAGAGAGAGAGAGAGAGAGAGAGAGAGGGAGGACTCTTCACAGCACACTGCTAAATCAGTCTGTTTACCCCTTTAGCTTACATCAGCCCCTACAGGCTGAGCTGGAACCTGGGCCATTAGTAGAAACTAACATTTGCACAGCACGCTTTCATGCAACAAGTCAATAAGTTACATAATCCCTCAGGGAAGCAAAGAATCTGACTGCTTGTTAAGGCCTGTTAAACACATTTACAAATGATTTGCTATTAATGTTCATTTTATGAATATGAGTACCAGGACATAATGGACCGTGTTGTGTTTGCTGATGAGGGATACAGCTCAACTGTGCCTCACTAAGAAAAGATTAAACTAAAGGGATGGGTAGAATGAAGAGAAGCTGTGGACGAAAATGGCTTTCTGATCGAAGACTCACATCACTCTGACATCACTCTGCTGATGCTGCCTAGAGGAATCATTTATAACGTGCTCTGATGTTATGGAGGCTGACATCACTGTGTCTTACATAATCTTCTGTTTCTTGAATAATCATCGAGGATACTGCAGCCCAGTCACTTCAATGGTAATTCAGTGGATCTATCTACTATAAATACCGCACAGTCCTCGGCGGTGTATAAGCAGTAGGCTAAAGCCTAGGATGTAAGAGGGTTAAATCATGTCTTAGAGCAGTGGTAGTTAAACTGATCCTCAGGGACCCCAGACGGTCCACATTTTTGCTGCAGGGATTCAAGCAAAACTTTGGACCGTCTCGCAATCCCTGAGAACTGGTTTGAGAACCACTGTATTACTGCTTATCAGTTTATGCAAACAGATATAGCTCAGTAATAAGTGATATAAGGCTCCACTCAAGGCTCAACATTCATGCTTGTCCACTTGTCCAGGTTTGTGTCGGACAAGCAGATGATGAATTTACATGTAAAATGGAAACTAAAAATAAAAAACAGGCTAACAAATTGTTGTAAAAAATAAAAACAAATGTGTTCTGAGAGGAGTGAACACTTTAAGAGTGATAAAGCATATACTATACTATTAAAGCAGCAGCTAAGCTAATCAGTCAGAATGCTAGAAACCTCCACAAAGCTCTGAAACGATCTGAGGGTTAACAAACATATGTATGAGTCCAACAGGGAACGAGAACATATTCCCATTTGGAAGAGCTATGACAAAGAACAAGGAATGTTCTGGCTGAGATTAAGCAGCTATGTTAGCTGTAAAAATAGTCATCGAACCAAATCTCTTTCTCAAATGATATAAATGTGCTTTTTTTGATAATATTTGTTTAATTTAAAATAAAGAAGCAGGACTCGCCTTGTGCTAGCTAGTCAGTGTCTTTAATGACTTTTACTCAGCGTTAGCTGGTCACTCTGCGCTAGCTGATTTACTTTCTCACACACATTATAAACTGTTCTGGGCTGACTGTTACTTAAGCAATAGAACACGAGAGGGAGTGCGTTATCGCGAAGTAACATCACAGCTGTGATTTGGTCACAGATCACGATAACACAGAACCTTGAATGTTCTATTGCTTTTATACAACAGTTAAATAAATAAAGTAATAAATAAACTGGGCCGTGAATGTGGCATTTAATATGTTTTAATGTTAGCAATTCCTTCCGCCAAATTATAGTTCCTTAACAAGCAGCTTGTTGCTACATCAGAGTTACAAACTCCACTCACTCGCTGCACACTCTGCGGTAAGCAGACTGAGCCGTAAAACTGCCGCAATATCAAGTTTAGCTCAGTGTTGTCAATTTTTGCTGGATCAATATTAATGTTGTTTTGTTCCAGCCAGTCTGTAAAGCATCTTACAGCCCATTTCGTTTGGCGAATGGTATTTGGTTAATTTCTGGCTGATTCCAGGTTGTTTAGCTGTTCTTCTGTCTCAGCTGCCGACTGAAAAGCTGCTCAGTGGTAATGACAGTTTGGGAATTTAGTGTAGTCTCATCTTCAGAGTCTGACCAAATCGGCTGTCGGTCAAATGTGATCTTAAAAGTAGTGCAGTGATCCAGTGTTTGTGAAAATACCATGATGTTATGGCGAAATAAAGCACAGTTAGAACGCTTCTCAACCAATCAGCTTGCGTGGCTGGAACTGTTGTATAAATATATATATATATATATATATAAACTTACATAATACTGCAGTCATTTGGAAATGTTACTATTGACTTTTCTGTGGAGAATGTCAAGCCTTGGCTATACTGATGTGTGAAAACCCTATTTTTGTTTGTTTTATTCAATGAATCAACTAATTCAGAGCTCAGCTAAAGCAGCCAGCAGCAGTGGTTGAATGTTAAACTTACGCTGAGAGTACAGCAGGATCTGGATCTCCAGCAGAGCGCAGGTGAACAGCTGTAGCACGTTCTCCACACCCAGCAGCTCAAACATCTTGCGCATGGGGAAGTCAAAGAGGGGCAGCTCAGAGGTGCTGGGCCTCTGGCACACCACAGGCCCGTAAACGCCCGAGAACTTGAGCGAGCGGCCAGCAGGAGGCAGCGGCACCTCGTACAGGACATTGTAGACGTAGCTCTCCAGTGGCAGCGGTGGCGGTTGCGGTGAGGTAACAGCCCGGTGCAGTTGCTCCAGAACCTTACGGCAGGCCTGCGCAAAGGCCATCGGCGTGATCAGGCAGATGCACTTGGACACGTACAGCGTGTCGCGGCTGATGTCGTAGGAGTTGAACCGCTGCAGCCGCGAGATGGAGGGAGCGGCGTGCAGCTGGGCGCCAGAAGACGGCCGGGCCTCCTCAGTGCCTGGCGTGTGCAGGATGTCGTACTGCTCGGCATTGTGCATGTGGTAGAGCGTCTGCATGGCACTGCAGATCTGCTTGCTGGTCACCTCCTCAAAGAAAGTGAGGGCAAAGCCGTAGGTGCGTGAGCCATCCTCACGTGTAATGATGAAGGAGTGGAACTGAGGCTCGCGTGAGTCTGCCTGTGTGCGGAAAGACAGGCCTTTGGGCATGCAGAGCTGCAGGACAGAGAGGACAGCATTAAATTAGAAACAAATGAGTCAACCTGCCAAGTTTGTTTCTGTAAGTTTGTACTTAAGCCACAAGGCTAATGTAACTAACAAGTAACAAGTAATAGTCTATGTCACCAATGATATGTGTAAACTTGAAAAGCAATTCGCTTACCATGCCCACTGCATCCTGGTCAAATGGACTCCACTCCACATTCTCAGGGTAATGCGCTAGAACTTTGGATTTAAAAGTTCTCCGCAGTGGACTCTGCTCAAAATTTTCACCTGAAAGCAAGAAGAAAGACAGAGAACAAAGAGAGAAAGGATCAGGAAAAAGAAAAAGCAGAAGTATCCAGAAAACACATGAGGCCTATCTACAGAGGATGCGTCTTGTTAAAAGTGGAAAAAACAGTGTTGCATCATAGAAAGCTGTCACTTCACTGTGCTCTTGGCAATTCTAGAATAGAATTAGAGAAACTGATGTAATCTTTATAAACGTATTAATCTTGTCAGGCATCTATCAGGTGCAACTTTGGACATTTTGGCTGCACTCTTATCTCTTTCAGTTATTTTTGTTTGCCAAGAACTTTGGAAAGCGACAGCAGAACAGGCCAAGCAATCCCGCTTAATGATTCGAAAAAGACACAAATCAAACCATATCAAAAGTAAAGTGAAGCAGAAGTGAAGTGAAACAGCAAGTAGACGTGGCTAGCAAACCCATTCCGAGTGAGAGAGGGACAGTACAAAACAGTTCACACAATGACCAAGCAGACATCCGGGCCTGTGGCACAGCCCCAAAGTCAGTACAACAAGAGGAGGCAGTGACACTCAAACAGATCAGCCTGTCGATCAGTAGCCGCTGCTGGCAGGTAGAGGGATATTCGGGGGCAGAGCAGAGTGGACAGGGTGAGAGGGATAGGGAGAAAAGTGATCATTTCTGAATTCCCTTCACCCGCACGCAGCCGAGCGCAGAAATGGAGTGCTGTGAAAGAAGTGCATGTAAGGTCAAAGGTTAGAGGGCACAAGCAGAGCCGGAATCATTTGTGTAAAGGAACAGGAGCATCGTCCGAGGTGGAGGGGAAAAGAGGAGAGTGTTTGGGAGGGGTTACCTTCATGTGCCATCGCCAACTTTCCTCTGGCACCATCTCTGAATTTAGTAGCCTGTATATACTGGCATAAAGCTACACAACAGATAAAACAACAGTACAATTAATCACACAGGCTATGGGGAGGACAAAACTGCAGTCAAAGAGCCATAATGTTACAGAGATGGATGACAGGTTTATAAAAAAATACTTAACAGCTCAAAAGAAAAAAGTCAGGCCACTCTTAGCCCGTTTACACCTTGCATTAACATGTGTTTCGTGTCCGGAATGTATCTGGATATATTCCCGCTGGAATTCATTTAAAGTTATATTAATCTCTTAATGTGTGTGCCCAGTGTAGCCAGATGAGATCTGATTGTACTCTTCCAACACAAAAAGCATGTCCACACAAACTCACAAGCTTGGCTTGAACGCTTTAGTCGGCCTGGAGTGCATGAAGCCACTTGGTTTGGGAATAACTTCAGCCTCAGGCATCCTCCATGTTTCATTTGTTGGTTCATCCTCTCACTTAGTCAGCGCTCGGCAGATGCACTTCCGCCCAAGTATTTGTAAACGGATAACGAAAATGTGTTCTGTTTGCGATTGTGTTAAATGCGGTCAAGATCCATCACTGACCATCACCAAACGTGGTTTGAGTGATTCGATTACAATCTGCTCACTACATGTTCTGGGGGTGTTCATACCTGGCTTTTCAAGTAACTCCAAATGTGATTCGATCCCCAAAAATACATCTTAATGCATGGTGTAAACAGGCCCTATGTATTTTTATACAGACGGGCGATGTGGCAAAAATATAAAATCACAACGTCTGATGACACATTAGTGGTGGACAGGATGGCCAAAAATGTGTATCATAAAATTTTTTACAGTTTTGGTATACAGTGCGTTTTTATACAGTTTTTTACATAAAAAACACTGGGATGCACGGTGATGTCGCAATGTTATCGTTATCATATCAGTATAGATGCTCAGACTTGACTGATATTTTAAACTGATATTTGATGATACTTCGGAAGAGCAAAATATTTAGCCGAGGCTAAGATACTGTGCTATAATGTCCGCATTTTACTGCATTTGTAACCCTCACAAATAATTGTTACATTTCTATTTAATGCTAATACATGTATTGTCAGTGGAAGATATGTACAGGAAAAATATGGGATGTCGCCCCAGAATTCCCATATCAGTGAGTATCCCATATCCCCAGCAAATAATACAAGTCACTATATTACACCTAGGATTCTCGGTTTGTTGCAAGGACCAGGCCCCAAGACAGCATCGTCACCTCATGTGGCTGACCAAGTGAGGCGGTGTTGTAGGCAGTCCGAGAGGAAACCAAAGCGCAGTAAGCGGGCTAAAGACCTCGAGAGTCTAGCCGTTCTTGACATATATATTGCTGTTGTCCACTCCCAAACATCAAACTGGCGCAGGACTTTTGCGTTTTCTATTATTTTTTTACTGACATATGACTGAAACAGCCCATTCACTGCATTCAGAGCTTTTAGCCATTCAGTTAAATGCATTAACCCTAGTATGTTTTGTTATCTATGCTGGTTTTAAGGTACACTGGTTTAAAAGGTTATGACAAAACTCATACGTTCAACCACTGAAAAGTTGGAACGGTTTTATTTTTAAACCCTTATACTGGTATATCGCCTACTACTACAATATCAAAATATGATGTTTTCTAGGGTTTTGACTGAGGATGGATGGAACGGATAAACTGCATCAGCAAAACAGTAGTGCCACATTGAAAATGCTGTCAGAAACTACAAAGTTATTTTTTTTCATTCAGTGTTTGACTACGTCTGATTAAACAGGACTAATAAAAGATGGTATTGAAACCTGCAATCTCCTGAGAATAGGGTGGAGCCTTACTAACTAACAGTACAATAGTGACATCTATGAAGAGCTGTTTATGAAATATTTCAGGCATAAAGACGGAGTGTAAATAAGGACAAAACTACAACCAAAGTGCCATAAATGCTACAGAGATGCATAACAGGACTTTAAAAAAGACATTTAATAACCAGAAAAAAGGGATCAAGTCAGACTACATTGTGTTTCATGACAGTGAGAAGTCCGGCATGTTGTCATCGTCTTTTGATGGACTGCTCTGCAGGGGTTGGTTTCAGGCAGTTTGATGGTGAAGAGGCTAATTCTTCATAACCTTTGTTCATTCACCTTGCAAGTATGATGAATGTCCAAGACACAAGACACACAGAAAAAGAGAGCTCTTGTTGTAGGAGCCCATAAAATGTCGGTTGCATTTTCCTCTGAGGCTAATGTTAGATGAATTGGCAATGAAATGAATAGAGCCATGCAGAGTCCTAAAAGCCACTATGTGTGGAGAGGACATGTGACCAAACCCAGAGCACATTCTGTGACCATGATCTCAGTGGTCAGAGTGAGCTCTGGGCCTCAGCAAACAACCCAGCTAGCCCCAGTGAACATGAGAAACAAATACAAGCTTGACATCAACCAACATGAAACAATGAATTTTTAATGAGTTCCTTTTGCCTATTTGATGCTAATTATTATCTTCTAGCTGGTTGGATCTATTCCCACTCAAATCCCTCCTGTCTTTGTCCCTGTGGAGGTTCTAGCACACCTGCTCAAGGCTGGGGGATGTCTTTTTTTCTGGCACACAGGGATTCTGCTGATTCATCCTGTGCATTTCTGATTCAGTCTATGAGCCAATGCTTTTCTGACACATACTGCAGACACAGAGCTCCAAAACAGCTCTACTCTGTTGTCAAAAAAGGGGTTCTGTGGAGCGATACCACTGGAGAACCACTTTTGGTTCCCTAAAGAACCTTTCAAAGAATTATTTTTCAAACATTTTTGTCAATGAGCTGTGTAAGCGTGAAGAACCTTTTCAGAGTTTAAAGAACCGCCAGTGAAAGGCATTTCCTACAACCATACATCCAGGCCAGGAACCATTTAGGAATCTTCGTTTTTAAGATCGTAGGCGTGTCTTCTTTGATTCCCTCAACAAAGAGCTGTAAGTCCTGACGAACTCAACATGAGGTAACTTAACAAATGCAGTGCCAATCTACTGTGCCAGCCCATAATTAAAGTGAAGTGTACAGACAAAGCACATCAACAAAAGACTGACTTGCTTATGTGGCATTTCTTTTCAAAGCTGCTGACAGGGCCACCCAAACAAGACTGGTCCGTAGGGCTGTTCAGGTGTTGGGTGAGACTGAATGCTGGTTTGCTTTGGGACTTAGGTGTGAAATGTGCATTTGTAGGAAATAATGGACTTGATATAGGCTGTGTGTAGCTCACAATTACGCAGACAGGTTTCTGAACTCAGTTTAGAATGTAGGTCAGGAATGTGTGGCATTGGACAGCCCGATAGTGAGGTTGTGGACATGTCTAAACATAGGCAAAGCTAGTGGACCCTTCTAGACAAGACGACAACAATCGGTTGAACGCCATGACTAAGACCAGAAGAATGTGGCATGGAAAAGTGCTGTTGTCCAAATTACCTTGCAATGACTAGGCACTGTAGTCTCTGTGACATACCATTTGCCTCATATGCATCAGGTAGGCCAACTTTTCAGAACTTGACAACAGCAAATGTATAGTTGTTTAGTATGGAGAAAAATGTATGTAATGGTATGTAGGTCTATCATAATAATTAGATCATTGGCTGATCACAATTATTTCAGTTGACTGCACTTATGTTCCACCGTCAACTTTCACAGTCCTATAGGAACTGGGGGCACACACAATTGTTCATATAGTAATGAACAATCAAGTTAAAATTTCATGATGGTGTCAGTCAAAATTATCTGACTGTTTTGTTTGTCACAGTACAATGTATTTGTATAATTTTTGTTCAATAAAAACATTTCAGATATTTAAGCAAACCTCTTTTTGTTGGTTAACAGTGGCTTATTATTTAGGGTGTCCCTTCACTTTTAATAAGAACCACATTTAGCGAATTAAATAAATTTAAAATGTTTTTATTGTAAAAAGTAGTAAAAATAAAACTGAACAATATACACAGATGTCAATACCACTTTCTAACTCTAACCCTAACAAAATAAAAGGGTCATCCTACAGAAACGTCCACAATTCTATCTATACACAGGAGTCACTGGTGTTACTGATTGTCATTGGTGTTACACATAAGAAAGGTAACACCAGTGACAGAAACACCAGTGTTATGCAGTAACACCAGTGACACGACTCCTGGGGACAACTTTCATTATATATTTTATACTGTTTATTTGGCATTTGTTTTCTTTATGTCATTTAATTTATATATTTCATAGTCATGTATAGATTATTGCAGTTAAAATTGCAGAAAAAACATGTTTTTTTCTTCAAAATATGGCCTCAGCCTTTACACATGACTGTGGGGACAAGCACTTCTGTGGTGCGTGGAATTCTAGATAATTGATTTAAAAACCAATATTGCTAAATTCATGGCTCAAGAAGGTGCAATTGTTAAAATAACATTGTTTATTTTAAAACATAAATAAATTGTAAGCCTAATATGTTTTTTAAGTCTACTATATCAATATAACAAAATGTCTAATATGTCTAATTTAACAAAAATGGACGTTTCTGTAGAATGACCCAAAAGTGTGTGTGTGTAAGCACACAGCTGCTTCTTACCAACAAAAATGGTGCTAAATGTTGCTTCACATCCAAGTTTCTCAAGTAATTTGTTTTATATGTGTGACTTATTTCACAGACAGCTGGAATTTGGTAAATATTACAGTCATTCCCACTATCAGTACCAGCTACTCACAGCCAAGGACCAGGCCCCGAGGCTGTGTCAACGTCTGAGGCAGATGACTGAGGGAGGAGGTGCCTCAGTGTCCATAAAGGCTAACTACCAAGAGAACAGCCATTTGTTTAATGTACTTCTCTAATGCCCACACCCTCAATAACAAACTGGACTAACATTACCTCAGACTGCAACTGACTACACAGCAAGAGATGATGGATTGCTGAAACATCCCTGACTCAGCTAAACAGGATAACCTTAGTATGTTTTGTGCTGTATGCATGCTGCATTATCTGCATTTATTTATGGCAAAACGATATAAAGGTTC